CACAAACTATTAGGCCGGTTGCACTTTATGCGACATTTGTTTCTTTTGCCTTTTTTTCTTTCAATCATCATCAAATAATAGTATATTTGTGAATATTAATGAAAAATGAGAGATCAAGTAAACTGAATTAAATCAAAAAAAAAAAAAAAAAAAAAATTGGGCGTGCTGCCATTTACAATCATCATCATTTCTACAACAAAGATTAACTAGAATGAAAAATCATCATCATCATCATCGAGTATCTGAATTGAATCTGAATGATTGAGTGTTTGTGTTTTGTATGGGCGAAATTTAAGAAAGAGAAGAAAAAAAATTCATCATCATCATTACCACATTGACTTATTCAATGAGAGACTATTTCGTTGTTGTTGATTTGTTTGCACGCAAATATTGTATATTCACAGCAACAACAACAATAATCTCGACACCTTTTTTTCGATTTTATTATTTATTCTCCGGTTAATTTTTTTTTCACTATTTCATTTTGATCTTAGTTTTTACCGCCTTAATAATGATGATTATCGTTTATGATCTGATTTTTTTTCTTGTTGGCCACCAAAATGTTTTCGGAGTCTTTTTTTTGTTGTTGTTGTTGTTGCTGTGAATGCAACGTTTGCAGATTTGAAATTTAAAAGCACAAAAATGGCAAATGATGATACAATAATGAATTCATTTCAATTTAATAGCTGTCTGTTTTGTGTGAAAATCAAATTTAATTTATCATTTAATGTCACATAAATTATTGGTTACCAACAATTGAAACAATCATTTTGGATTCATCAAATGATGACACTGTTTCCAAGTTGTAAACCAGTTATGTATGTGTGTGTGTATGTGATATTCAAATCAAATTTGATTAAAATAAAAAGAATATAGATCTATACACTTTATTTATAACTCCGCCTTTTAACCTGATTCTGCGAAGAAAAAAAAATTCATTTTTTTGGGGGGGATGTGTGGCAAAATACGATGATATCATAATGTTGCAAAAAAAACAATTGATTCAATCATCATCATCATCATCATCAATCAATAAAATTGGTTATATGAAGAAAAATGAATAAATCTCATTCACATTCAATTTTATTTTCTCCCTTCATTCCCCAAAAAAAAAAATATGGGCGGCAATTATTTGTGATACGATTGTGGTCGATCGATTTACGAAATCAATCCATGATTACACACACACACACACACATAGCCACTGATTATGATATCATCAATGCAGCTATAGAAAAATTGTTTGTAAATCATCATGTATGTGAATTCTCGAAAAAAGAAAAATTAAATTGATTATATTCTCTCTCTCTCTCTCTTTCACTTCAAGTTGTGTTTCAGATGTGGGCGGAAACAACTGAAAAAAGAGAATTGTTTTTTTGTTGTTGTTGTTGTTGTTGTCACTCATATATTTTGTTATAGAATAAAAATTACTCAGCCGAACAACTCAATTTAAAAGAAAACACTTGACAACACACAATTTCATTGCTGATTTGATGACCTGGTAAATTATGATTTTCATTCAATTGATTCATTTATTCATTCATTTTCAATCATAGATACACACACACACACACACACATTGAAAACAATTTCTCAATTATGAATCAAATTGAAAACAAAAACAAAAACAAAAAATGAAATGAAATGAAAATGACCACTATAAAACACAATTGTCAATTGGTTTGGTGACATTTTGCTGTTTTTGCTGTGGCTGATTGTTTTTTTTTCTCTTGGATCAGAAACTAATTTTCTCATTCATTCATTCATTCATTCACATGTATCTCATTCAATTGTAATTGTGCATAAACCATCTAATTAGCTAGAAAAGGATGAATTATTATCATGTATCATGGATTCAGCTTGTGTCTATGTGGATAGAATATCTTTACAAAATTTGATGATTTATAATTGCAACTCACAACACACTCTGTGTATATATGGTTTCATCCCAAGCAAAAAAAAAAAATGAAAAAATATTATGATTATGATGATGGGATTGGGTGGTGGTATTCAAATTTTTTATTTTTTTCGTTATAATAATGATTATACAATCACATAATAATTATTTTTGTTTCGTTGTGTTGTATATTAATGTGTGTGTGTGTGTGTGTGTGTAATATGAAAAAAGTTTGTTGTTGTTGTTGTTGTTGGTCTCTCTTTCTCTCTTTTTGCATTTAGCTAAAGCAATCAAATTGGATCGGATAGGATGGCTGAATGGATAGGCTGACTGGCCCAAAAAAAAAATTATTATTACTAACAATAATTATTTTCATTTTTTTTTTTCTTTTCTCTCTCTCTCGAAAATTGATATCTTTATTATCATCATCACGATTATTATTATTATTATGTGAAACAATCATATTGAGATAGGAAAAAAGTGTTGGTCAAAAAAATGACAAATATCAGTTGTGTTTATTAAAAAAAACAACGACGATGAATTCAATTTATAATTTAAAAAACACCTATATCATCATCATCATCATCACAGAATCGGTCGATTGACCAACCGAATTATTATCATTTTCGATGATAATTCAATTATTATAAGAAAGTAAGAAAAAAAAATGATTTTTAGTTTGTGTGTAGACGATGTTTTGATTACGGAGAAAAAAACACACACACACATACACACGTCGTATATAATTCTGATGGTCCATGAACCGAATAATTTTGGTTCAATTTTTTTTTCTCTAATTCTATGGTTCTAAATTTCCAAGGTTTTTTTTCTCTATGCTGATTGTTATTAAGATGTTTTGGGTTTTTTTTTCTCTCTCTCTCATGAGTCAAAGTGTCAATTTTGTATGTTTCGTGATTTGATTAAATTTGATTTTTTTTTGTCGCTTCTGTTATATTTTTATTTACTTATATGGGACAATGATACCGTGATCCACCCAAATAAACAGTAGCCAACACTAAAATTTGATGGCGGTTTCGTTTCATCATCATCATCATCATCATCGATCGATCGATCCGGATGACCACCATTACCACCTTTGTCTATTGTATGATCGATAATTTAATAGTCCCATATATATTGTGGGTGGATAGTTTTTTTTCTCTCTCTCTGTGTGTGTGTGTGTGTGTGTTTTGGATGCCGCCGTCATTGAAAATTATTAACCAAAAGTAAAAAAGAGAGAGAGAAAAAGAAAATATCGGTTATGTAGAGGAAAATTAAAAAGCGCGAAATCTAGATTATTATAGAGTATGTGTGTGTTCATAATAAAGTCATAATGATAATAATAATAAAATTTCTATTTCAACCAAATAACCAAATGGTGGTTCTCTTCTCACACACCCCCTCTCTATTTCTACATTATCTATTTGAATAAAAAAAAAGCCGAATCCAATAACTAAATGTAGATCATCGTTGGCATCATCATAATAACGATTATCATCATGCCCAATGACGGTGGCCTTCCATGATGATGATGATGATTTTCATCCATTGTCATTTTTTTTTGTTGATGTGATATGGATCCATTCCATTATCACCATTATAATAACCACATAACCACAATCATTATCATCATCATCATCATCACCATCACGATATTGAATCGTTTGACTATTAAATCGAAAGAATTCACAGCCACAATTGAAGAAAAGCCGGTCGGTATGTCTTTTTTTTTTTTATTCATTCTCAGAATAATTTCTTCGTTCAACATTTAAATGAATTCAATTTTCATGGCAATGGGCAACCATCAGAAAAAAAAATTCAGTTAAAATATCTGAATTGAATTAAAAATTCAATTTAATCTTCAACAAAAAAAAAAAAATTCTCTCGATTCTCGATGTGAAATAATGTGTTTCTTCCATCGTAACAATGACAACAACAACAACAACAACAATCGACAATCGAATGGAAATGAACAAAAAAAAAAAACGATTTGAACTTTGAATCTGATCTAGTCGAAACGAAACCTTTTTTCTAAATATAATAATAATAAGGTTGTTGTAATAATAACTTTATTATATTACAACAACAACTTTTCGGACCATGGAATCATCGATGTGGTGGAAAAAGAAGAACAAAAAATAACATGAACATGATCCATGTGTGCGTGTGATCATTCGATTTTTTTTTCTGTGGATGGTTCATCATGTCGGTAAATTTGTCTGTGTGTGTGTGTGTGTGTGTGTATGATGAGATACATAATCATTGGGTTTGTGACGCGAAATAATTCAATTTACCCCTGAAATATAATTCAAATGACGAATTTTGAATATTTCATTCAGTGTGTGTGTGTGTGTGTGTTTCATCGTGATCGTTTTTTTTCTTGTTTGGAAATTGCGGTCTTTGATACACACACACACACACATTATAGAGAGAAATAATATCTTTGAAGAAAGAAAAAAAAGAAACAACCTCTTGGATTGCATACAAAGTCCATTGTCGTTGTCGTTGTGGTTGTTATTTCACAATCAATAATTTGTATATAATCAAATCAGATTAATTGAAAATTCGTTCTTTTCGTTTGTCGATATGAAAAAAAAACTTGTTCAAGCAAAAAATTATCACCACCAATATACAATATAGCATAAATTGATGATTCTCTCACCAGATTTTTTTTTTTTTTTTTTTTTTCGTAATGGATTTTGATTTGCATTACAAGTTGGTTTTTTTCGAAGATACAAGATGAGAAAATAATCGACAAAAATTTAATCAAATCAAAATATTTTCATTTTACTGTTGATGTGAATGAAATGTGAACAAGAAAAAAACAAACAATTTAATTGTTTTTCTTTTTTTTCGCTTATCAATCGATATAAAATAATTATATCATCGAAAAAATTGAACATTTGATTTGGTTTTTTTTCTGAATAGCAGATATTTTCGTTTTTGATCATTTGATTAAAACAAACAAACATTATTATTTTTTTTTATTATTTCGAACCTGATAATCGGACAAAATCAATTTGTTCTCGATTTGTTTGTCGATTGCGATCGACAAATAGAATCAAATTTTGATACATGGTTCAAATTTCAAATTTTTTTTCACAAGGAACCGTTCATATAATCTGTTCAAATCATATGTTTTCGCCAAAGTTTTTTGAAAACAGTGATTTGAATCAAAACTTGTTAAATAAAATCAACGATGCTTCTATCTGGAATTTAGCAATCCTAAAATTCAAGCAAGTAAAAAAAATATGGAACAAAAAAAATCCACAGCGACTGATGATGAAATGAGTGCATTGGAATGGATTGAATTGCAGAAAACCATCGATGATTATAGTAAAACGGAAACATTTTTCCAAAAAGCTAAACGCCGAACATTGGAAAATCCTATCGCACCACTTGGTTTGTGGCAAAATTTTATTCTTTAAAAACAAATTTATCAATTTTAATTACATCCAATTAGGTTTTCTCGGTGCTTGCGGTTTTTTAACATACGGTTTACGTGCATTAAATCGTGGTGATTCTCGTCAACAACAATTAATGATGAGAGGTCGTGTCATTGCACAGGCCATCGGAATCGGTTCGATTATGATCGGTTTATGGTTAGCGGCTAGAAATGAATCAAAATAGAAATCCTCCATATATATTATTTGTTTAAATTCATTGTAAATTTCGTTGTTTTATAATTGAAAAAATAAGACAATTCTTTAATTTGTTTTCTTTAAAAAATGGTTATTGTTTTTTTTAAAAACATCCAAATTAAACAACCGTTATAGTTCCATCTTGATTACCGAAATATACTTGTGATGCCATTCCGATAAAAAGTCCTGTTTCAACAACTCCAGCTATGTTATTAAGTTCCGTATTTATTCGCGGCCATTCTTCAGCTGGAATTGTTGGAAATTTCCAATCCAAAATGAAATTCGAATTATCCGTAACCAATGGGCCAGCTTTAGCCTGTGCCATTCGTAAAGTAGCTTGACCACCAAACATTGATTCAATTTTTTGTTTAACCAACATATAACTCATTGGAATGACCTCGATCGGTAAACCTTTTTTCCATCGTTCGCCTAATACAATTGCCCGTTTATTAAAATCAGCTACAATAATTAATTTTTTGCTGCGGATGCAACGATTTTCTCCTGTGTCAGACATCCACCTCCACCTTTAATAAGATTTAATTTTTCATCCACTTCATCGGCACCATCGAATGCAACATCCAATTGTGGATTACGTTCAAGATCACTCATTATCAAACCATGTTTGGTGATTAATTGTCGTGCCTAATTATTTAGTCAAAAAAATAAATGAATGAATGAATGCAAAAACAGATAATTACTTCATGATTATTATTACCTGGAATGATGTTGGAACACAGGTCACAATTAAGCCATCATTTTTGATTTTTTCAGCTAAACGTTCAACGGCATAAACAATGGTTGATCCACTGCCAACACCAATGGCCATATTATTCTAAAGAAATAAATATTCAAGAGCAAAAAAAAGAATAATTATAACCATTGTTATTTTCATTTTCCAAGGATTCTTTTCAAAAATGAAAAACCTTCAAATGATCATCAATAGCTGCAAATGCGGCCAATTTTTTTGCTTCTTCAACCATTTTGTTGTTGTCAATAATAATATTTGAATGGAATGAAAATAATTTTCGATCAATCAGGATGTTACTGAATCGGCCAATTCGACGTAATAATATGACAATCATTCAGTATTCATCAGTAAAATTATTATGGTTGATGATTGGCTGTAACGATATGATATAGACCAATATATGAGCATTCAAAGCTATAGAAAAAAAAGTCCTTTTCGTTGACAAGGTTATCATATCGCTATATTGAATCATAATCATTGAAAAAAAAATTTGAATGTTTTATTTTAGTTTGAAAATTATATATTTTTTTTGTTTATATATAAATAATAATCATCATTTTATTTGTGAATTAATTAAAAATTGTAATTGTCCAGATATTTCAGACATTTTCTGTAGATTATCAATCTCATCATCAACACGTTGGTTAAGTTCTTTAAACAATATCCTTACTTTTGTTACATGTCTTATATCGCTCGTATAAATATTGACCAATATTAATGAAACATCTAATAATATTCGTGAAAACGAATATCTGACAGATGTGTAATTATGAATTTAATTATCCGTTTTAAATCGGTAACATTTCTTCCGGCCAATGCGGATTGTAGACCATTTCGTCGAATTAATTCTTGCATAAAATTTACCACTTTTTCAGGATCATTATTAGCAAATTTTCTCATCACTCTATTCAACGCAGCTGTATATTGGAATTTTCTTAATAATTCTTCTTGTTTTTCTTGTCTTGGTCGATTGATGATATTGTTGCTTGCGACATTCGGAACGATAAACATATTTTTCTTATCCAATTTTACTGTCTTTCTTTTTGGAATATTGCTGAATAAAATTCGTTGGCCATTTCTTCATCATCGTCAGCATCATCTTGTTTTCGAATTTTATCACCACCATGTTGAGCTGAGCGTCCTTTCGTTGTTTTAGGTTGTGGTGAAATTTTATTAATCGATAAAATTCCATTATTAGTTCCAACGGCCAAATATGATCCATTATAATGGCATGATAATAATTGTGATGGTGTATAGCTGAACGATGCGATAACATTGAAATTAAAATCGAAAATCTTTAAATGTCCGTCGATGGATGCCGTTAGCAGATAGGTACCATAATTATGTACACAAGTTATTGTTTTATGATGTACATTATCCAATGTTCGCAATGTTTTACCGGCAACAACATCAAAGACTTGTATGGTTGTATCACTGGCCGATATGACCAATAAATCTCGATTTGTAACCGATTCGATTGTATGTTTATGGCCATATTGATAGCATGAGGTTTGTGGCGATCTACTGTCCCATATTTTTACCGTATGATCATATGATCCAGATACGAAAAGTGATGCACTTTCAATTAGACATGATGCACGAATATAATCGTCATGAGCAGATGAACTATCACTATTAAAATTATACAGGATTTTTTCCTCGATAAAATCCCATAATTTAATCTGTTTATCATCACCACAGGAGAAAAGCTGATTTAGGCCATTGAAATTGACTCGATGAACAGGTGCCGAATGTTTCAAGGATTGGGCATTATCATTATTACCCAACAGACGCAATGGTTTCGATTTTTTACATTCCCAAATTCGAACGATACCATCGGCGGCGCCTGTGGCAAAAATTTTTTGATTTTCACGACGAAAGTTACCACCATAAAGTAATGTATGATTTGGAGATTGAAATGTACGTTTCTTTTCCGATGATTCTGGATCATAGAGTGATACTTTTGTTGCCGAAGTAGTAAGAATCTGATTATGTCCATTTATATCGATCCAATTGATTGCATTAAGCTCACGATAAACTGTTGCTGGATTTACATTATTTTTCCAAAATTTTGCCGATTCTGATAATGGTTCAATAATGGCAGGTAATGTTGATACTGTAGTCGGTTTAAATGTAGTCATTATTTGTTTTTAAATTCTGATTCAAAAATTTGAATAATAAATTGTTAAATTCAATTTTTTGAAGAATCTCGGCGAACCCACGTGAATTTAATGAACCATCAATAAACAATGTAACATTTGTTGTGATATTTTTTTAGGTTTGAAAAAATGTTTTTTCGAAATTGGTATCGTTATTTGAATATTAACCGAATTGAATCGAAACATTTTTCCACTTTAAGAGCTAATATTGCATTAAATATATCGAAAAAATTTGAAAATGTTTCCCTCATCAATTTTCCATTGAAAAAATCCCCAACATTTAATCTATCCGAATTTGTCGATATTAAAAATGCCCATAATCGCTGCCATCAGGAACATTTGGATGATAATCCAAATTATTATCCTAGCGTTACTACGATATTGAATCAAACATTATCACCGGAATCATTGGCGGCGTTGAAAAAATGGGAAACTGAAAAAATCAAGTGAGTTTAAATTGAATTTTTTTTTAATGATGAATGAAAACTAATTTTTTCCATTTCATCAGGCAATTTGGTATGGAAGGATTCGAAAGATATCGCAAAGAACTATTACTGCGTGGACGATGGTTACATAATAATATTCGAACCTATTTAGAAACGAATGATACGTCTGGTTTAAAAATCTCGACCAAAACACAAGAAAATATGTGGAAAAGTATTGAAAATGTTTTGCCAAACATCAATCGATTGTATGCATCTGAAATGGTCGTATATCATCCGATATTAAAATTTCGTGGAATTCTCGATACAATTGCTGAATTTCATGAAATACCAGCTGTGATTGAATGGAAGACATCGGAAAAATTACGACCAACAATTGCACATACATATGATAATCCTTTACAAGTTGTTGCCTATTATTCTTGTCTACAATTCAATGATGATTTGAAATCGAAAAATCAAAATACCAAGATTGCAAAAGAAATTCTATTGATAATTGCCTATGAAGATGGTTCAAAAGCAAATGTTCATATTATTGAACCATCATTACGTATGGCGATTTGGCGTAAATTTCTACAAAGACTTGAACAATATTGGATTATGGTTGCAAATCAATCGAATCAATAATTTTTTTTTCTATTCATTAATTGTATAAATGAATCTGGTCTTGTAGATATTGTTTAAAGGAATTGATTCATTTTCAAAATAATCAAATTAAAATAAAATTGCTTAAAAGCCAGGCAACTGGGAATGGTGAATTTCAATTTTTTTTTAGTTTTGTTTGATAAAGTTTAGTGAATTTTTTGCTTGTTTTTGAAATTAATTTTTGAATAGTATTATTAAATGGACAAACGCAAATATACGATTATGGCAGCCGTTACCGCAGCCGTATTTGGAGCAATCGGCTATTACTATTATCAAAAAGAGATTCTATTGATGAGGCGTTAAAAAAAACGGCCGATACGATCAAAAATCAAGCCGATGTGGTGAAACAAAAGACCGATAATGCACAGAAGAACATCCAGGAAGCAATGAAAGAATTGGAGAAAAATATTCCGGATAAAAGTCAAAAGACTCCAAAACTTTCATCAAAAAAATGAAATGAATGTTTTATTTAAAATTTTAGTCAGCAATTAAAATTTATTTATTTTTGTTTTTTTAAAATTTTTTTCTGCTTGATTGTTTAATTAACAATAACAATTGTTGTCATCGAATCAATTCATAATGCATTTGAGAAAGATGCCGGTCAAATTTTTTTCAATACTAGATGGCGCATTTTTTTAGCGAATTTTCTTTTTTCTTGTTACCATTAATTCTTTTATAATAATGATGAGTGTTGTTCATGCGTGTTTGGGTTTCTATTATATGATGATGGCTGAAAATAGATTCCTTTCATTCATTTCAATGGTGTTTCGTGTAACTGTGTGTGTGTGTGTATATATTTATGTGAGAGTCTTGAACACACATTGATATAAACTAATAAAAAAAAATTCTTATAATGAAAAGAAAGCTTGAATTTTGTAGTGAAGAAAACGATTCTGCAGATAATAATAAAACAATTATCATTAATAATAATTCAAAAACAATGAATGATACATCAATGGTTTCAGATGTATTGATGGAAAAAGAAAACATTATTAAACATGATGAACGACGATCAAATGTGCATGATGGTGATAAGATTAAATTTGTTGAGAATAAAAAAGGTATCGAACGTTCGACACAAATTCAACGAAATAATGTGGCCAAAAAATTGATTATTAAAAATTTTGGTAATTCTTTTGTTATTGTTTATTATGATGAATTTTGTTTGATGACATTCGTTTTTTTTGTGCCATGAATTTTATAGAAAGTCCAAAATTACCTGATGATTATCTTCAACAAACATGGGCCAATCTAGAAAAGGCAATCGTAGCCATACAAATGTCAAAATCGGTTAACATTTCCAATGAAGAATTATATCAAGAGGTGCAGAATTTATGTTCACATAAAATGTCATCAATCATTTATCAACGATTACGTTCATTGATTGAAACATATGTAAAGAATAGTGTTTTTCAATACGTCGAACCAATCAATGAGAATGTGGCATTTCTTAAGATGCTTGAAAAATGTTGGAATTCTTATTGCGACCAAATGGTATGAAATGAATGCAAATATTAATTTTCGATCATTAGTAATGGATATATTTTGGTTATATTTTTTTCAGATAATGATCCGGTGTATATTTCTCTATTTGGATCGAACATATGTGCTTCAGAATGCACAAATTTCATCGATATGGTAAATTTTACATTACTAAAAAATTAATTTTTTTTCATATTGAAATTTCATTTTTAAAGGGATATGGGCCTGGAAATTTTTCGTGAAAACATGACAAATAATAATGTAGTCAAAATGAAATTACAAGATTTTCTATTGGAATTAATAACCCGTGAAAGAAATGGCGAAAAAATTGATTGTATTCTCATCAAAAATATTCTACGAATGTTGATCGATTTATCAATCTATATTGATTTATTTGAAACGAAATTTCTTAAAGAAACGCAACAACTTTATCTTGTTGAATCGGAAAGAAATATATCAACAATGGGAATCAGTGAATATCTTTCCTATATTGAAAAACGATTGAATGAAGAAAATGAACGTTTAATGTCATATCTGGATCATTCAACATCGAAAAAATTGATACCGATTGTTGAAAAAGAATTGATTCAAAATCATCTGGATAAATTATTCAATATGAATTTCGAACAATTAATCGATGAACATCAACTTGATTATCTACGTTTAGCATATAATCTAAGTTCACGTGTTCCGGATGGTTCGAATAAATTATGTAATCAATTCAATCAGTATATCAAGACAAAAGGTAGAGCAATTGTGAGTGCTTCACCGGAACGTGATAAAACTATGGTTCAAGATTTATTAGATTTCAAAGATCGTATCGATGAAATTGTCTGTAAATGTTATTTGAATAGTCCAAAATTCATCAATTCAGTCAAAGAAGCATTCGAATGTTTCATCAATCAACGGGCGAATAAACCGGCCGAATTGATTGCCAAATTTGTTGATTTAAAACTTCGTGCCGGTAATAAAGAATGTGGCGATGAAGAATTGGAAAGATTATTGGATAAAGTGATGGTATTATTTCGTTTCATACATGGTAAAGATATTTTCGAAGCATTCTATAAAAAAGATTTAGCCAAACGTTTATTGATTGGAAAATCAGCATCGGTTGATGCAGAAAAATCGATGCTTTTGAAATTAAAACAAGAATGTGGCAGTGCTTTCACATCAAAACTGGAAGGAATGTTCAAAGATATGGAACTATCGCGTGAATTGATACCCAGTTTTAAACAATACATTCATAATGCTATGCCCGATGCTTCGATCGATATGACTGTTTATATATTAACCACTGGCTATTGGCCAACTTATCAACCAATGGACATACTTATGCCACCTGAATTATTGAAATATGAAGAAACATTTACCAAATTTTATCTATCCAAACATATGGGCCGTAAACTACAATGGCAACGTAATCTTGGACATTGTGTATTGAAAGCTTATTTTGCAAAGGTTAGTGGTCGAATTTCGGTCGTATTTCGTATATTTATCGGTTTTTATTATAGGGTGCCAAAGAACTTCAAGTATCATTTTTTCAGGCAATAGTTTTGCTATTGTTCAATGATACCGATGAAGAACTCAGTCTAGAACATATTCGAAATAAGACTATGATTGAAGATAGTGAATTACGTCGTACATTACAATCATTAGCTTGTGGTAAAGCACGAGTGATTACTAAAATTCCCAAAGGACGTGACATTGTTGATAATGATAGATTTGTTTTCAATAATGAATTTATAAATAAACTATTCAGGATCAAGATTAATCAAATTCAGCTAAAAGAAACGGTAAATTTTTTTCAAGTAAAATTCTTTTACTCACAATTTTAATGATTATTCTGTTGAATTTTTAAAAATATAATTCTCTATATCTATAGCAAGAAGAAAATGAAACCACACAGGAACGTGTATTTCAAGATCGACAATATCAAATTGATGCTGCTGTGGTGCGAATAATGAAAACCAGAAAAAAATTACCACATAATTTACTCATATCGGAGATATATAATCAGATTAAATTTCCAGCTACGGTAAACAGAATGTTTTTTTTTGTTTTTTAATTTTAAAAACTAATTTGTTAAATTAACGTTTTTTTCTTGATAAATATTAGCCTTCTGAAATGAAAAAACGAATCGAAAGTCTAATTGAACGTGATTATCTAAATCGAGATCGACATTCATCAAACATTTATAATTATGTCGCATAAATATTTCGAAAATTGGTGTGGTATTGGATGTCAAATCGAAGGGAATTTTTTTCTCCCGAATTTTGTCTGTAATTTAAATTGCATTAAATGAATTGTATAAAAGTTGTAGTCACATGAACCACTGAATAAAAATGAATCACAAATTCACATCTTTGTTTTTGTTTATTCATTTATTATTATCATTATAATAAACGATCATCATCATCATAATCATTTATAGACTAAAAGTTATAGATTTTTTTTCTGTTTACAAATAGTTCGAGGCTACTTCACTTGTTTGTGTTAGCAATAAAAACATTTTTTTTTCATTTTTGCTCCCAAAATTTCTCAGCTGGTACCGCTTTGAACCAGAATCCACATTCACATCGTTTTGGTTCATTTAAATGTAGCCACATATATTTGATTGCAGAAGAATCTTCTTCACATTTACAGCCAACCATTCGTGTACCGGAAAATGTTTTTACTATGTTTGGATTATCTATTTGATGAAATAATGTTAGTTTAAATAATTTTTCAAATTTGAATCTCTACCTTTAGTTCCTGGTCCACGAACTTGTTCTTGAAGATCGAATGGATCTTTGTTGCCTCTAGCAATGGCCATACGAACTAAACGTTCTTCACCAGTAGCATGATCATCATCTTTTGGAAAACGAACCTTATCTCGTCCAAACCAAAATGTTCTCGATGATTGAATGAAATGTTTTGATTCTGGTACTCGAGCAATTGAATTCAAAGTCGTTCTCAACATGGACATCTTGACGGATTATTTTCGGTATTTTTTCGTGTGATCAAAAATAATAAACACACAGATCGAGATAGAAACTGTGAAAAATACCAATGAGAAACACAAATGAAGGTGATCGTCGAGACAGAGATGAAAGAGGCAACGTTTGATCGTTAATTCATAAACAACGTTATCGATTGTTGGAGCTGAAAAAATTTTCGCTGATTCACTGGATTGTTTGAGTGTGTAAATTTGCTTTGCAGTGTCTTTATTTTCTGTCAATTGAATTTAAAATTGTTTGATTTTCGAATTCATTGAAATATATTTCATCCGAAAATTATGGAGACAATCATTGGAATCCGTTGTAAAGATTGTGTTATTATTGCCACCGATCGAGTGAATGCTTTTAGCATTATAATGGTCAAAAATGATATGAATAAAATCTATCAGTTGAATGATAATTTGGTTATGGCAGTTAATGGTGAACCTGGTGATACCGTACAATTTGCCGAATATATTAGTAAAAATATTCAATTGTACAAAATGCGTCATGGATATGATCTATCTCCAATGGCTTCGACCACTTATGTTCAACGTAATTTGGCCAATTATCTTAGATCACGAACACCTTATCATGTTAATTTGATGATGGCTGGCTATGATACACAGATGAAAAAACCACATTTATCTTTTATTGATTATCTTGCAACCACTGTTGAAGTTCCATTTGGTGCCCATGGTTATGGTTCTTTTTTTACAATGGGCATTCTGGATCGTGTCTATAAACCGGATTGTACGGCTGATGATGCAATGGAAATGTTGAAACAATGTATCACTGAAATACAACGACGTTTAGTGATTAATCAACCTGTTTTTCAGGTGTGTAAAGTTGATGTTAACGGTATTGAACATCTGGATGATATTGTCGTTAATCCGGATAAGGTTCTTAATTCAGAATTGAAACTACAAAAACCCACGGTTCAACCAATGATTCATTAAAAAATTGTTTACAAATTATAATTTCTGATTTTTTTATGTCTCAAAAAAAATTGAATTGAAATTCCAAATGAATAAAATTAACACTAAACTTGAAAATTTATTTAACGATAATCAATTTTTACTGATCAAACTATTATTGTTATTATTCAAGAATAATGGACATAAATTCTTATTCTTTATTTCGATGATGGTGATTAAAAAAAACCACATTGATCAACACACATAAATACCCATCTTGGAAATGGATCACCATCATAATGATTATCAATCGTTGAAAAAAGAGAGAAAGAGAAAATAATTGCCAATAAATAGTAATTTGTGACAAAAAAAAGAAACAAAATTTGAAATAATAAAAATGATACAAATACAAATTACAAACCTAATTTGAAATAAAACATTTTGAAAAAAAATCAATCAATTAATCGAATAATTTACGCAAGGAAAGAAAAATGATGATAATGAAAAAAAATGAATGAAAATTTCGAAAATTGTGAAACAAAACTTGAAATATTATGATATATACCACAGATTATATTGGGCGGGCGTGGATAATGAGGACACAGATTTGACAATGCGATGGGTGTGTTCGTGGTGGTGGGTGATTTTGTGTAATGAAAACAGAAATCAATTTGTAATTTAAGTATTTTTTTTCGATATTGAAAAAATTGATTTGTGAATCAATTTAAAAAATGTTTGCATATGTTTCTGTTTTTTGGTGTGTTTAAAACTAATTTTTTAAGAAAAAACGTGTGTAATGTTGAAAACTCTCATTCATAATCGGGAGAGAATAATATGATATATTTATAACCATCAATTTTGACAAAGATATTTTGCATTTGTTCAAGATATTGTTTTCATATTTGGATTAATTTTTAAACAAATACTTTAGCCAAACCATCAGCACCGGCCGATGCAAAATAAGGCTTCGATGGATGAAATGTAACATCAAAAATTGCTTCATCAAACTTTTTCCTATGTGATGATATTTCCTGTACACAATTTTTATTATCGAAATTCCATAGACGAACACTACAATCATGACCTATTTTTTTGGAACGAAATTGAACAATTATTTTTGAAAAAGAATCATTCTACCACTTACTTCCACTTAAAATATACCATCCATTAGGATCACAATCGACCGAAGTAACCTCATCCAGATGAGCAACCATTGAATGAATACATTTGCCTTTGATGATCATAAGGAAAACAATTTTACATTACAAATATTGTAATTGTAATAAAAAAATATTTGATAACTAACCAGTATTAATATCCCAGAGTTTTATCAACCGATCTTCATCAGCGGTGATCACAATCGGCATTATTGGATGTACAGCTATTGAAAAGATGCTACCGGTATTATTATCGGTTGACTTTTCAAAAGACAACAATGGACTGGCTGATGAGTTACCACCGGAATGAGCTTCAATATCATACATGGCCATTGAACCATCATTATAAGCACAAATTAATAATGGTGATGAGCTAACGTTTTGATTCGTATTTAACGATCCAATCACAGCGATATCGGTTGGCGTTTTATCTATTTAGAAATTATTTTTCAAAAATTAATCGATTTTCATTTTAAATTTGAAAAATTTAATCATCACCTTCGCTTTCGATGCTTTTCATACAAATCGAACGTGTTGTGTCCCATATTTTTACCGTTTTATCGGCTGATGATGAACAAAGTATATTCGATTGTGAATTAGGTGATGTCAACGATGATAATGACCATATGGCATCATTATGAGCTTTGGCTATAGTGTTTAATTGTAATTTATAATCATATGGATCATATATGTCCATATACATATTATTAGATGGTATCGCCCATGATATAATTTCACCATTCTGTGATCCAGAATAAAATTGATTTCCATTCACACATAATGATAATACTCGTGATGAATGGCCACGATAAGTATAGATTGGTTCCAGATCAATTGCATTCACCGTATTGATTGGCTGTTTATCTGTTATGAAAAAAAACAAATGGATGATAATCGAAACCCATAATTAATAAATCAACAAATCAATGTGAAATATTCGGTTAGGAAAACATACTTTTAGTTGACTGTGTTTTATTGATATTCCATAATTTAAGTGTCTCATCATCCGATGCTGTTATCAATAATGGTTCGGTTGCATGAAAACGTAGTGAACGTATACAATCATAATGTGATCTGCAATCAACATCATTAGAAATTAATAAAAGTCCAAATAAACTATAATAATGTTTTTACTTGAGAATATATTTTTGACTCCATGTTTTTCGCATTTCCGACGAGGTATTATTATTGGTTGATGCATTGCAATTATCAATCACATTATCCGTTTCGGTTAGCGATGCTAATTCACCAAGTATGAAATTTCGACGTGCTGAAAAAAATCCCGAAATGATTTTTATTAAAAACAAATTTTTCCTATAAAAACAAATTCAATTACCATTAGGACAGTTCCAATCGGATCTTTTCTTTTCTAAATCATAAAGATTTTCACGTTGATTATCCACACGATTATTGAGTATCATATCAAATTCATTTAGTACTTCTTCAGTTTCATCATTATTCATTGTTCCTCCTGATCCATCACTTAATGGTTGATCAATAACATCTTCATCTTCAACATCAATATTTTCAAGCATAGACATTGATTCATGATCATTTTGATTATTTAAAAATTCAAATGTTGCCAATACACTTGATTCAGTATCGTTGACCATTGTATTTGTTTGATTTTTTATGTGTTTATTTCTTCGACGAACATAATCAATATAATCAGGTGATGATGATGATGTTTCATTATCATTATTTCCACCGCTTATATTAGCAACAGTATTCTGATTTTTTTCTCTAAACCAATTAATTTTGATACAGCTTGTTCACTGGTCACTTGATCATTAATGGAAAGTCCTAATAATGCTCGTACACGATTTGAACGAACATCGATTATTGTATCCGTATAGCCAATCTCTTGAAGATAAAGACGTAATAATTGACGACCCTATTAAAATCAAACAAACAAACAAAAAAAAAACAAAACATTATATTCATCAATTGATTAATTATCGATGATGTGTTGCTTACTTGTTTCCAATTTAAATTTTTCTGATCACCATCATTTTTATTATTGTTATTGTTGACATTTTCATCAAGTTCAAAATTTAAATCATTCAATTCATCCGTCGTATCATTATTATGATCAGGTGGATCGGTACCATATTTTAATTTATGATATTTAGCTCGTTCTTGTTTCAGACAATATTCCAACATTTTTATTCGTCGAATAAGATCATTTTTTAGATTTTCTTGGCCTTTACGTTCACCTTGTAATAATGCAATACGAGCTTGTAACTCGGATTTTTCCACCTTTGGAACATTTTAATCGAATTGATCAAAATAAATATAAATGAATCCATTATTATCAATCATTTAGACTTACCTCCCATTGTTGACGATGTAATTCAAATTTTTGCCATTCATATTGTAAAAATTGTACAATTCCAGCGATCGTATATGGCAGATTAGATCGTGGATCTGAATTTGAATTTAAATTTTGGCCATTATTGTTGACATTATTAGTGTTATTATTATTAGAGTTATTATTATTATTATTATTATTATTATTGCTATTCATTATTGATACATTATTTGTCATCGCCATACGTCCATTCGTTAACGTACAACCATTATTTGAATCCATTGCCCGTTACACTTTAGAACGATAAGGGAAGAAATTTCTGGATGATCGATATGAAATAATGTGACAAACAAGGAGTGGAAAAATTCGGATGCACGAAAATGAATCGAGAATAAAAGTGAAAATTTTTATTTTCTTTTTGCGATTCTAAAATGATAAAATTTTCATTGAAAAAAAATTTAACGCTGAAAAGTGTCGGCTTTTTTGGTCAAAATTTTGTTAGCAGAATCACACACACACACACACACACACACATAGATAATAAACACATTGAAATTGAAAAAAATTATTAAATTATATCAGTGAAAAAAAATATAAATAATAACAATAACAATCAAATAAAAAGATTGAAAATAGAATCAAGACACATCGCATATTCACAGTGTGTATGTCTTGTATTGAAAATGGCAGACACTCGATATATCGCGATACGATTGATGTGAGAATGAGAAGAGGGTGAGCAAAAAAAAAAAAGAGACAGAGGGGCAAAGTGAAAATTACAGAGACACGCCTTCAAGAAACACAATGTAATATATTCTTGCCGGTAAATGACGCCATCTATGATTGATTATTGATATATTTAATTGTTGTTTGATGATGATGATGATGATGATGATTATGATTTTCAAATTTGTCATCAAAATGAAAAAAAGAACGATTATTTTGTGTTTGCAATGAATTTCTTAATCCAAATTTTAAATTTAAAAAAAAACAAAGATTGAATTAATTATCAAACATTTAAAACATCAAAAAAAAAATGAATAAAAATCACTAAACACTAGAGGGCGGGAAAAGCAGTGGCTGTGACCGTTGAAATAGACGTTCGACGTCATAACAAAAAAAAATAAGAAAACAGATCACGTGACCTGTTTGACAGCTGTTTGTTGTTATATTATTGCTACTATCATCAATTATAATGATGCTTTTGTTGCAAAATTAATTTCTCCTTTTTTAATGATTATATTTCACGACGACAAAATCATTGAAAAAAAATTACAATCAGTTTCCTGAAATATTTTATCTAAAAAAAAAGATTTTTAATTAATTTTTGGCCAATCAAAAACATTCTGGTCATCGTGTTTGATTTGTTCATTGTTGTGAATTACAGATAATATAATAGATTTAGATATTATTAGAGTAGAATTTTGTCATCAATAAAACAAAACAAAATCATTGAAACAAACAGATAAAAATGTCTTCAGCATTTATTACAATACCTGCGAATACGATACAAGCATTGAAAAATATTGGCTATTCCATCACTACAACCACCAATGCTAATATAATACCAAACGATTTCAGGTATGAATTTCATTTATTATTCAGTTTTGTTTTCAAAAATAATAATATATATATTCATTTATAATTCTATATAAACAATACAGCAATAATAATAATACGATGATGATGAAAGATAATGATAAAAAAGTTGAAGTTCGATGGCTAGACTCTGAAGCTGAATTATATATAAAACAATGGCGTCGTAGATATCGACAATTAGAAGCAATCGATAATAATAATGATACAAAACGTTTACATTCATCATCATCAATATTATGGCCACCATCAAATCAATCATCATCATCGTCATCATTGGATGATTGGTATCGGACGGCTCATACCATATTGGATTTGGATGTTTCCTATCTGAATTCTAAAGAATATCATAAATATAAATGGAATGATGAAGGTTTTGATCTCATATTCAATAATCGATCCAAACCATTCTCATTGTTTATCGATGATGATGATAATTATAATTTCAATGATGATGAGGATTTATTAACATTTCATCAATTTCCACATCAGCAGCAGCAGCAACAACAACAACAATTTTTACCATTCGAAGCGATGATTACATTGGATCCAACTATACCGATTAATCAAGAATTTTTAGCTGTATTAAAATCAAATAATTTGATGGTGAAAAATGGTAAACTATTGGAAAGTATGTATAAGAAATTAAATGATAAACGAATTTTTTTTTAATTAATTTGATTTTTATTTATATATGTTCCAATAAACAGAAGAAAATATTGTTTCCACAAAAGATAATCATCATCATCATCATCATCATCATCAATAATAATAAAGTTTATGAGAAACAAACAACGAGAAGAAATCAGAAACAAACCGCTCACATACCAGCACCAGCACCACCACCCCCACCACCACCATTAGTACCAACAACACCGATAACCAATGTAATTGAACCTTTGTCATCATCAACAGCAACAATGGCAATGATGAATATGAATGAATTACAATCTGCGGCTGCAGCAACGGTATTAACAACACCGTTATTAGCAGCGACAAATATTACCCCATCACCATCATCACAAACAAATCATGGTGGGAAATGTAATAATAGTTCAAGTGGTAAAAGTCAACGAAATAGGAATCATCATCATAATCAGAATAATAATTCAAACCAAACGAATAACAATAATAACACAACAAATAATAGCGGTGGTGGTAAACCACGTAATCGTCCCAGTTCAACACGAAGACAGATGTACATATGTGAATATCCAGGATGTACATATCAATCGGATAGGAATTTTAATTTTCTTCGCCATAAACGTACACATATTAAACAAAAAAATGATTCAGATTCTGGCCATCAAAAACGTAATAGTAATAACAATAATAATAATAATAATTCATCATCAACATTAACAAATGTAACGGCAACACCGACGACGACATCATCGTCATTGGTTACATCGAATAGTTTTCCGTTCAATACACCGATACCACCAAATGCAACAAATTTAATGATTATGGCAAATAATGTTCCCCCAACATCATCTTGTTTTGAATCACCAACAACGGCGGGTATAGAATTCAATCATCAGAATGGTTTAATCATGACCACTAATCTACACAATGATTCAACATTATCAAATACATCGCCATTATTACCGAATGACTTCAGTATAGATCTTGGCCACCACCACCGTCATCATCCATCAGCATTACCGACAACAATTTCGACGACACCAGCAACAACACCACGACAACAACAACAATTGAACATTGTGGCAACGGCAACCAATGTTGAATCAACAATAAATTTACCAACAACAGTTAGCATTACAGAAAATGGACACCCATTTATATTGAGTACCGGTAGTAGTATTGATCATGATAATTATCTACAGCCGCATCTTCATCATAATCATCACCATCATCATCATAATCATCATCAGAATATTATTATGAAAGATATTAATAATTTTGAGCATTTGTTGGCTGATAATCATCATTTTTCAACATTAACATTGGATCAATCATTTTTATCCTAATTCATTCCATCTTTACGAATTATAAACCAAATTCAAATTAACTAGCTTTTGTGGCAAACGGTAATACAAATTAAAAAAAAGTACAAATGATCATTAATCTGGAATTTGTTTCGTAGAAAATTTTTCGGTGTAGACCATATACCTTTTTTGGTTTCTGTTTGTGTGTGTGCTGTCCATTTTTTTTTTTAGTAATACCAAAATTTCCCGGGAAAAAACAATTCAATTTGTACAGAACAATAATAATTCTGTCATTGTCAACCGCGTTTTATTATTATCATTATTATTATTATCATCATCATTATCCAATTTTCCTTTTGCTTATTTATTCAAATATCGCGAATCTCTATCATTAATCATCTAAAAATTTGAAATAACCAAACATAACATCTTATTTGGTCTTTCATTCATATATTCGAATATAATATAAACAAAACAAAAGATTCTGGTTTCATTTATGTGAGTATGAGAATGATATAAAAAGGATTGTGAAGAAATTTTAACAATCATTTTTAATCAATTAAAAAATATATAAAATTGTCAACATTATCACCATACACACACACACACACACATTCATCATGTTTGTCATTTTACATAAAAAAAATATTCTTCACCATTTTATTCAAAACCAACATTGAACATGTCAATTTTTCATAAATATTTCTTGAAAATCTTGAAATTTGTATAAAAAGACTGTTCTACTTAACACAAACACACACACACACATTCTTAGCATGTTTTTTCTTTTTATTATTCCATTAAAAATATTGATACATCAATCGATATACCATCTTTATCTTTTTTTTATTGCTTCTTATATTTTGCAAATCCAACATCGATTTTTCCTTCATTTCCAATGGAACAATTTTCTTTTGAATTTTTCAAAATAAAATCCTTATTAATAAATATTCAATCAAAGGTAGAATCAGATTATCCACATGTTTTGTAAATGTTTCATATAGACAACTAATGGTGGATAAGATTAAAATTCTGATGACTAGCTGAAAATCAAAAATGTTTAAATGATTTTCACCATTGAAATAATAATCAAACAGAATTGAATGATAATGTATGTGAGAGAAAAAAACCGAATGTACCCAAATAGGTTTTACGTGATTTTGGCCATCGTCGATTGCCATATGTAATTCCAACAACGGAAGCAATAGTATCACCAATACCAATGGCCATAATTCCGGATGCAAGTGATATTTGATTCGAATGGTGAAGATTATTGCATAGCCATAATGGCGATGAACAACCAACCAATAGATAAATGTGTGATAATGTAAGTATACCGGAATCTTTTTCATCACGAAATCGATCAAATATAGTGTTTATAATTGAAATAATCACCGGTATATTGCTTAGACGAATAATCTATAATAATCGGAAATCAATTAGAAAAAACCATTATATGAATGAATCATGTTACCTCAATGAAAATAAAAATAAATAGAATAAGTTTGGATGCAAAATCGAGCAAGATGACATCATATTTAATTCCAGTAATATAGACCAATGATATGGCTAGATGAAATATTTTTCGTGTTGCCGTTGTTGTGGCTCGATGAACTGTATGAAATGTATGAATGTAAGCAAACAATAATGTCAACAAAAGAACCAATGACCAGAATAGAAGTAAATAAATCTATGTTTAAAAAAAATGAATTCATCAAAGCTGAAAAACAAACTGAATATATAGTTACCCTAGTTTGATTGAATGAAAGAAAATTGAAGAACCAATATAATGGTTCAATGTGAAGAAAATGATACAGAAATCCATATAGTGATAATGGAAACGAGATCAAATAAATTATAGGATCTAAACCAGAAATTCGAATCCATTTGGCCACTATCCAATGAAAGGCCAATGTTGAATAACAAATCTATGATGAAATTAAGAATCATTCATTTTGAAATCTTATAATAAAGAAATTCAAATATTTACCAAACAAAATTTATCAAGTTTTCGATAGGCCGTGAATTCGCCATCAATCCAATATTGCCAATTAAATGTGATAATTGAAATTAGATAATAATTAATACATTGAAAAACAATGGCAAATTCGGCAAATGTAAAACATTTGGAATATTTTTTTGCCAATGTTCTCAATGTTTTCAATGCGATAACATTGAAAATTAAGAGAAGAAAACCAATGGGAAATAAATTAAACAACGTTTGATGTACAAAGATGAAAATGCCAACATTGAATAATATAAATAAACTAAATGAAACATTGAATCTATATGCGAACAAAACAATGCTTGCATTGATCAACAGATAGTATGGAAAAAGGTGAGACTTTGATCCTGAATCATCGCTATTCCAGAGTTCATATGCACCTATCAAAGGCAATAAAAGAATATACTTGGAATCGGCAATATTCTCACGAAAATTTCTATCGAATTCCAAATTATTTTAATAATTAATAAACATAATTTAAAAAAATTGAGGGTTAAATTCTTACAATGGATTAAATAAAGCCATTTGGAAGAGGGATTCAAAATTGAAATTATGATGTCATTCGCAAACGAAACGACAAGGCACATTTTAAATGATGATTATGCAAATAATTTGGGATCAATCAATTAAACCACAAGGAAAAATTGTTGATGAATTAAATTGATTAAAAAAATATAATCTTCTATCGATTGATAAATTATTAAGGCCATCTATCGGATCGAAAATGCATGAAACATCGGTTATTGGCCGCCGAATAATAAAAAAATTTTGAGCAGGCAATTAACGAAAGCTAGTTTTATTCATCTTGCTTCGCGAACTCGAACGATATACACATACGCGCACTCATCATTTCCACATACCACAATTTTTGGGCTCATCCCATTCGATTTTGATTCGATTCATTTAATTTTGTTCATGTTTCGATTGTATTAAAGATAACTCTTAAAAATCTTGTTTTTTTTTTCGTCATTCATAAATTATCTGTAATTTTCAATCCAGATTACCTCTCCAATTCATCTCTTATTCCCACACACTTGGATACAGCTACGAATTGCATTAATCAAATGTAAACGATCGTTGATTGTTCATCATTACAATCATTAAATTGAAATGAATCTTTGAATGATTGTGTGTTTCTTTATTTCCATTCAAATTATTTAATGGTACTCTCACGACCATAATATTCAAGATCATCCTCATACGAATAATCAACATATTTGATCCATGTTTATGTAATATGAGTTTTTTTTCTTCTTCAACACACTTTTGTTGTTGTTGATTGTTACGTTCGAACATCCATTATAGATTGATATCGATCAAGATATGGGTAAGTATATTTTTTCCTTTGAAATTTATTCAATTCTTTTAATTAATTGATTTAGGTAAAACTGGTGAAGTAACCGTTATTGCTAAATTTGATTATAAAGCACAAGGAAGTCAAGAATTGGATTTGAAGAAAAATGAACGTCTCGTCTTGTTGGACGATAGTAAAAGCTGGTGGAAAGTGTTGAATTCAAAAAATCAATCCGGATTTGTACCATCAAATTATGTGAAACGAGAAAAAACATCCATTTTTGATAGTATAAAAAATCGTGTAAAGAAAAAAGATTATAAAAATTCACCGGTTTCATCACCATGTTCGAATAAAGCGTTTATTAATATTGACATTAATAATACAATACCGACAACGCCAACAAATTCACATCGAAATAATAATATTGGTGATGCTACAACATCACCACCGCCGCCGCCAATCACATCATCCGATTCACATTCACCATTAATGATAAATGAAATATTGAAAATTGTTACAGCAAAATATAATTACGAGGCACAACAAACGGATGAATTGACTCTAGTCAAAGGCGATAAGATATCGGTGCTGGAAAAATCATCAGATGGTTGGTGGCGTGGCCGTACACCAAATGGTGAAACCGGATGGTTTCCATCAAATTACGTCCAAGAACAAGATGATGTTCTGAATAATAAAACTACAAATAATAATCCAGCAGATCCAAATGGACAAAATTTATATCAAAATGATGAACTACAAAATATCGTTTCATTAAGCCAGAATGGATCGCAGAAAAATTATTTTACATTAGATTGGGTCATTGCATTGTATCCATTTCAATCACAGAATAATGAAGAGTTAAGTTTTCAAAAGAATGAAAAATTAGAAATTGTCGAACGACCTGAAAATGATCCTGATTGGTGGAAAGCACGTAATGATAAAGGTGAAATTGGTTTGGTTCCTAAAAACTATGTGAAAATCATCAAAGACAATCAATTGATTGATTCATTGAATAATGATTTTAATCGTTTGGCTGTGGAACCGAATTTTAATGGATCATTAAATAATCCGAATCAAAATGATCTTAGTCATCAAATCTGGTACTATGGTAGCATTTCACGTGGTGATTGTGACAAATTATTAAATGAATATGGCCAAGATGGTGATTTTCTCATACGTGACAGTGAAACGAATGTAATCTCAAATTTTTGTAGAATAAAAAAAATTATTCACAAATTAACTATTTTTTCTTCCATTCTCCATTCTAGATTGGCGATTATTCTGTTTCATTAAAAGCACCACAACGTAATAAACATTTTCGTGTACATTTTAGCGATGGTATCTATCATATTGGTCAAAGAAGGTTCAATTCATTGGAACATCTAATCGAACATTATAAAAAGGCACCAATCTATACTAGTTCTGATGGTGATAAATTATATCTAATCAAACCATTTTTCAAAAGATAATCTCAACAACAGAAACAAAAAATTTTTTGGATCTTTTTTCTACCGGACAAACACACACACACACACACACACACACAAAGAGAAAATGAAATGAAATTCGGGCTGCTATTTAATTTAATATAATGACATACAATCGTACTTCATCTTCGATTCCATTCTTTTCGTTGTACATAATTTTGTCTAGTTTTCTTTCTTTATTCTTCTTCTCAATACTTACAACACAAACACTTGAATTTTTTTTTATTATCCATATTTTTAAAATCGCCGGCAGTTTCTCTTAATACTCAGTTTTTTTTTTGCTTTTAATTTTTTCTGTTTGTTAAATTTACATTTTTTTATTTAATTGATTATTATTATTACACATAAATGAAATTAAAAACAAAAGAAAATTATAGCTGAAATCGTATTGGCCATTGATTGGTTGTATGTAGATTGGATGTTGATTTGAACAAATTACATTCATCGAAATTATTTTATTTTATTCTCATTATGATCATTCGTTTGTACGATGAGATGAAGCTATCGATTGATTATGATGATGATAATAAACACTACTGTAAAATTCTACTAATCGATCATCTTTATTCTGACAGAATCCACGAAAATCTTGCATAATTTTACGCATTGAATTCTCATCGCCAGTTACATTTGTTTTCCAACGTTTCGTTATTAGATAATTCCAACACCAAAGAAATCCAATCTATTTTGTAAAAATTTCAAATTAATTGAATGGCAAGATGTTTTTTTCCGATGACTTACTTTTGCATCAATATGAGCATCCTGACCTTTTAATTGCATTCCACTAAAATGTCTAGTAATATATTCTTCATGTCCCATTTCTTGTCTATCGATACTCTGTGATACGAATTCAATATAAAATAGGAAATTATTCAATTAATCATCATTCTGAAATTGATCCAAAAAATACAAACCTGTAAAAATTTGCCACGTTTATTCAGATGTTTCTGTGCCGATGTAGTATTCTTTCTTGGTATCATAACAAATATACTACCGGATACATGGACAAATTGTCGTTGATTTTCGGTGGTCGGATCATGAAATGGTATGAAACCGAATTTGACTAAAATTTTCTCTTGAAAATTAAACAATCGTTCACCTTCCAATATTTTGAAACAAAGAAGACAATCAATATTCAATGATATATAGACTGGACCACGAAGTGGATCTGAACGATTCGAAAATGGTAATGCAAACGGATCCCATGGTATCGGTACAATATGTAGATTAGTTCCTTTCGTACGACTCCATGTTGAAACTTTTTCCGGTATAGCATTGCCGGTTGCAACCATCCATTCCATGATCATTTCAAATGCTTGTTCTGGATCATAAAGACTATGATATTTAACATTAACCCATTCTACTCGATCAGTTTTGCTATCCAATTCTACTTGAAAATTTTTGAATGTAAATTCTAAACAAATTTATTAGTAAAAAAATTAACAATTCGAAAATTTCATCCACAAACCTGGAGCTTGATTCGAGATAAGTTCATCTTCATATGCCGTTACCGTAGCAGTATTTTCCAATTCTTTTGGATTATGTTGTTGTACGATACCAACTTCCATCCAGGCACGTTCAAAATATATCCTTTCAATTTCATTTTTAGCAAAAAATTGTCGATTCTGATCAGTCATCAGGCAATAAAGATGGAATCCACGTTTAAAATTTACTGACATATCACCAGATGCATGTCTAATAAGATCTTTATTTCGAAAATTCTGAAACATTCGTTCAGCTACAGTTTCATTCGGTATATTTTCCACATGTTTAACAGCCCATTCGATCGCTTCCAAACTGATGAACGTATATTCAGGTAGATTACGAAATTTAATCGTAAACAAATTACTTGATTGTTGCATAAAGTTGATGATTTCATTCGGTAATGATTCGATGGTGATTTTATCAGAAATTTGTTCCGGAATAGAATCACATGTATCATGGCTACCACTATCAGCGGATGATCGATTTAATGTGGATGTTAATTTTTCATGTTTTATTGTACGATTTGATGATGATTCATTGATCGATGTAAGCGATATAGGATCATTCGAAGAACGAAAATGAGTGTCAAAATTATCGCCAATAGAATTGGCACTATTAGGTGTTTGAATCGATGTTGAACTATTTCGACGAATCAATGATGATGATGATGACGATGATGATGTTGAACAATTTTTACATTCAATAGATTTATTCGTATTTATCAATTTAACACCATTGATTACTTTCAATAGTTTGATGAAGCCTTTTTGTAATTGAATTTTTTCTTCGAATGAAAATACATCATAAAGATCACAATTAAATTCATTATCACCAGACATATAACGATCGATAATTTTTTTCGTTTTCGAATGTTGTGTAGGCAAAACAAGTAAACGAAATCGCCAATATTTAAGGCTTTCAATCAATGGATATTCAGTGTAATCACCACGTAGACAGATATAATTGTCTAGATAATTCCATTTATATGTTTCTAATTTTTCACTTGTAAATGTTACCCAACTAACACCATATGTTTCATTATCCGGTGTACGAATTCGATAACAATAACATATATTATTTCGCTTTATATGGATGTCTTGGATGATAATTTATAATCGATATACGATTCTCTTTATGTGCTAATTCATGATAAATTCTTCCAATACTCAATATGAACGTATGTTTATTACCGGTACGATCACTGAATGTATAACATATTTTATTTTTTGGCAATAAAATTATCTGAAATCCTTGTTGCAAACGTTGATTGATCAATTCATTATAGAATTGATCAATGGTTAACATGTTCATTTTTTTATGATTATTACCACCACCATCTTCATTCGATTTCATATATCGTTGTTGATATAATTCATTTGCTTGTTCTTCAGGTAATAGATCATAAATATGTGTTACATAATCTTGTTCTAATGTACGTTTATCCGGAAGAAAATCGGTGGTTATCGGTAAACAAGCGGGCATCACTAATGATTTCCAATCAACACCGGTTGTTATGGCTGGTGTCCATTCTTGTTCACCTGTTGCACCCCATGCCCACAAAAGACTATTATCAGTAAGTAATAAACTACGTTGTTTCAGATGAATATCCGATTCATTCATTACATTTTTCTTTTCCAATTCAATCAAGGCATTCGATCGAGATTTTGTGAGATTTTTCTTTAAATCTTTATCCACATTTTTCATAACGCCATCAATTTGATCAAACGATGTACGTTTAAAATTTTTATCTTTCGATAACACTTCTGTAGAATCATAGATGATATTAAAATCATCTGAATTTATTCGATTCTGTGGTATAGCTTGATAATGATGTTGTTGCATAAAAATTCCAGTTGGTCCAAGCGGAAATACATGTGTCCATCGACGACGATTTGAATTCAATTTAATCGTTACATGTGATGGATCAAATGGATTGATCAATGCTTTTGTACGATGTAATTGATCTTTGAATTTATGAACAATAATATCATCTTTTGATTTGATCTTAAAATGTCCTTCATTATTCACTTTATTCTCGACGGATGTTGAAAGATTGTGTGAAAATGAATTATTTTTTGGCCGCTGTAAAACATTTATACTACCACCACCAACACCACCACCATCGACTATATCATTATTCTTTGGTGATTGTGATAAAGATAATTTTGAGTATGCTGAACGTGATGGAACCACTACCGATTGACGACGTTTTGGCCGTTGTTCATCTAATACCATTAAATTATTTCCATCATCTAAATTTCGATTGTAAGACATCATCATTCTTTGTGAATGTGTAGGCTGATGAAGATGATGATGAAAAGAACCATGTTGATTAATCAAAAATATTGATGATGGTTTATTCGATGCGGATGTACGAAATATTTGATTATCATATTCATCATAATCAATGAATGGTATATTTTGACATGATGTTAAATCGATGCCATTTGAACCGGATTCATTGTTTTGGTTACCTTTTGAATTTGAATTATGGCTAATGAATGGTGGTAGATTGAGATTGGCGGATTTTTTGACAGGACTTTGTCCCTGTTCTGGTGGTGAAATGTTTGGCATTTTAATTCGTGGTATAAAATTAGACGAAGGAAATCGTTGTTTAGATGAGTAAAAACTAAGATTAATCCAATGAGGCATATTGTATTCATCGTTTGACATGTTTGCACGTCTTGAATTGAACTATAATCATCATCAAAAAAAAATTAGATTAGACATTTTGTACATTTGTATTGCTGAAAACGCCTAAATTTATTCATCATTCAATTTATTACCTTAAATAATGGTACAGCATGAAGAGGTTGTTCGCCCAAACAAACCAGATCGCTACCAATACCTGCATGCACACAATGGATAATCATTTATTAGAATTTTTAGAAGACAGCTCAATCTCATTATATATACCATTATCAATGATTCGTTGTTTTGTTATGTTGGTCAAATCTAAATCCACTTCATATACACCAACACCGGGTGATATTACAACGGAAAGTTGACCGGTCCGATCAAAACTACGATCCAGATTATGTCGTTCAAAAACTGTTACAAAATCAAACAAAATCAGACGATAAATTGTCATTATTATTATTGAACTTACCATTAAGAGACATGTTTAAAACTTCGAGAAAATTTCCTTGTGATGCTGTCGAATTATATGCTTTAACACCTTTCAGACCTCTTTTCTCATGATAATGAATCACTTCTTCTTCATAAAGATTGAATAATTCTCGTAAATATATCAATGTCGATGACCAATCATCGAATCGTTCATTTTGAACAGCAACACGATAATAATCTTCATAGAATCGTTTCTGATAATCTTGTTGTAAACATTCCTGCATAGATTCAGGAAATTCATTGATATCACTAGCTAGATAGAAGGTTCGTGAAAACATAACAATGGTTACATCATGACTACAGTTGAATGTCTGTATCAAAAAAAAAAAAATGTAAATAAATTCATAATAGATAGAATTTTATATTCACCTTCCATTTATTGAAAAGATCGGATAGAAAACCTTTGACAGCTTTCTCAAAATATAGATCACCATTAATATCATAATCCCACATTTCTGAACTCATCTGTAAGAATAGATAAACCATACTGGATGCAGATCTAAAAACTACTTTTGTTTCTTCATTGATATAACCACTGGCCATACGGACACCATGATGCCACATTTCAAATACCTGACATCGGATATTACTAAATTCAATCTTTTTATTCAGATAAACACAAGTGTTGGTTATATGTTTTTTTAATCGCCACATGTCACTACGTGCAAGATATTGATCTTTGAAGAATAATTCTACAGAATCTAATGCAACAATATCTTCATCCACAACGTTCATGACAACATCGCTAAAATTTCTTAGCTGAAATGTCATTGCAATCGAATGTTCGATTGTTATGGTTGGACAATTGGCTTTCGGTTTATCAACATTGGTTATTTGTAATACCAAACGACTAAAAAAAAGTTAAAGCAAAAAAAATAAAACGATTGTTTTGTGAAATTGTTTTCAATTGTTATTTTTTAAAATTAAAATTCAAAATCAAACCTAAAGTTCTCTTCACTGGAATAAATTTCAACAATATCACCAATTTTAATATCGGAATAATCATTTTGACAGATGACAATATCATCATGATAATGAGTACGTTGATGTGTATTCAATTTAACGGTGGGCATTGTTTTATTTTCTATTATATTCTGTCTGAAATTCTTTAAAAATTTTTAAAAAATTCTTTAAAATCATTTCACTAAAATGTACGCATAAAATGCATGAGTGTTATGACAAAATTGTCTACAATGCCATCTATAATCATTTTATCGCAAGACTTGAAAAAGAATTTTTCAAATGGAAAAATTATGCAAAAAAATTATATTAATTTTTTTTTATTTTTTATGAAAAAAATCGAACATAATTTTGTTGAATGAATTTTTAAAAAGAACAATCTTATGCCGTGGTTGCCATAGCAGCATTTTCTTCCAGAATCTTTTTCCGAGATGCTTCTTTCAATTGAGCAGCAATACGATTCATATCTTTGCAACCTTGACTTGTCAAACGACGACCACCGCTGTTGGCATCCTTTTCCACCCAGTTGACGGCTAAATTGAAATTAAAATTAACAAATTACGAGAAAAATCAATTTTTTTATTGGGGGAGGGCTGGAAATGATACAAACCTTCCAATGCTTGCAGGGATTTACGAGCAATATTCGAACCACCACGGCAAAAATGCGATGGACGTACACCACGACGATTTCTACCACCATAGATTTTGGTAATGGCACCAACACCTGAAATTTAAAAAAAAAAAATCAAAACAAATCAATTTTGAAAACGAAATAATTCAACTGACCAACTGGGGATCGATGATACAAATGACGGGCAACCGAAGCACAACGTGTGTAGAACCAATCATCATCATATGGAGCCAATTCTTTATACACAGCAGTTTTGACCAAATCACTCCAATCCGGCACTTTTAATTTACCCGATCTATTATCAAATAATAACAAAAAAACGAAAATCAATAAGTTGCTTTCGTGATGACATGTGGGCTAAAAAAACATTAAATTTTCAAAAATTTACTTTTTAAGAAAAGCGGCCAATGCAACAACAAATTCACTTTGATCAACATCTTTAACACTGACCGATTTTACATTCAAATTCATTTTTTCTGAATGATAATTACTGGAGAAAAACGTCGAAAAAACCAAAATGAAAACACGAGGCAAGCACAACAGTGAGCGAAAGGAAGAGAGGAAATACAGTGTACGTACACGCGTGATTCACGGAAAGTTTCTTGTTGTTGAAAAAATTTACGGGAAAATTTTGAAAAATTTTTATTGAAAAAAAATTTATATTTAAAAAAATCAATTTAATCAAAAAAAGAAATTAATTAATCAATTAATCATCCTGATCATCCGTGGATTCTTCTTCAGCTTCCTCAAGCCATTTAATGAAAAGGCCCACTTCTTTTGATTTTCGTAATGTTTCCTGTTCACTGGTGACATGATCCGAAAGACTCTTTGGCTTATAAAACCATTTTAAAATCAAATCTTCTTCAAGTACATTTTCTTCATATAAAAATTTAATTATTTTGATCAAATGTAAGCTGGTAACCAGTTCCTTGTTTTGTAGTTGAAATTCTTCAATAGAATAGATACAATCATTTTGTGATGAAATACTTTTGATATAATTTTGAATTATAGGTAGACCATATTTTAGATTTGATTTAACAGTGGATGAAAAATTTCCATCACTATTCAGTGCTAAATTTAGAACGGCTTTGATTACCAATGAATTCACCTCGTTCACCGGAACATTATATGCATGTTTTGATGAATTGATCTCCAATATAATATTCTCTGCGATGGAATGTTCTTCAATTCCTCGTGAAACACTATCATATACTTCATTGTAGAATGCTGCGATAATGATAAATAACATTAATAATGAAATTAAAATAGCAACAAAAAAAAAATACCAGAAAGAATCTAACCTGAATACTCATCACCTAAACTATCATAACTATCGTCGGAAGCATCGGAAAATTTTGTACTATCTGAATCACATTCATCATCATGATTTTCGTTCATTTCTTCATTATGGCCAGAATCAGAATCCAATTGTAAACACTCAATATTTTCATCATCAATATTAATATCACTAACACGACCATTCGGAACAATTGGATAAACGAACCGTTGCAATAGGTCACGACTTATATTACGATAAGCTAGAATACTATCGACACGAGCAGCATAACCTTCTTCAAGAATTTCCACATGAATATGATGACAAAGCAGCTGGTAAAAAATAAATTAAAATATAAATTATGAAATTCAGTGCATAGTTTACCACTCACTTCAATATCAGCCAAAAGACCATGAATAAAATTTTCACGGGTTTCAAAATCAAAATTGTCCGAAAAATCAGGTGGAACTTTTTCCGAACAGATAGCAATTTGAGTATCAAGTAGATCATAATGAATCGAAATACAAGAGTTTCTTTCAAATAAATCCTAAAAAAATTGTATGAGAAAAACAATTTGAAAATTTTTGTAGAAAAAAAAACAAACCGTTGGTATTTCGGCGCGTTTCTTCATGGATTTTTCAAACAAAACTATTTTCTGTTGAGAATCCAAAGCTATCATTGTCTTTTGATTTGGCGATGATCTAGAACGATGATTTGGCCACACTTTACGAAAAATACAAGTCATTACACAGCCAGGATCTTTTTTTATATTTTCCCTGTATGTATAAGATAGAAAGCCAAAAAATAATTAGACCAACACAACCAATTGTTGATTCATCCAGTTTTGATTACTTGTGTTTTTCAATCATTTTGTCCAGTCTAAGATTTCCTACACAATCACCATGTATTAGGATAAAATTTGATTTTATTATTCCACGAGAATACAGATCTCTCATCACCGGTCCAAGGCTTGTGTAATCTTCAGAGAAAAATATTTGAATATTCAATTTGACATACACTTTACGTTTATAGTCGCTATAAAAAGTGATAAAATAAAATTAACTAGTTTTTCAATTCTATTAAAATAATAATTAATAATTGAACTTACTCGATGAATTTTTTAATTTCTTCAAAAAATTTACCACAGAATAGAAAAATTTCATCAATATTTGATAATGTCAACATATCGATTGTGTATTGCAACATTGGACGATCGACTAAATTCATCAGAACTTTTGGCTTGGATAGCTCAATAGGAGCAAAATGTTCATCATTATCGATCAATACGACCGCTTGATGAATTTCTTTTTCCATTTTCTTTATATTCATCGTTAATTGAAAATGATTTTTAGCAGCAAAAACAATTCCAAAAACATTAAATGAAGAGAAAAATAATAAAAAAATTTATAAATATAAATTCCACACACACACAAACACACATTGTCAGTGGCTTTTCACATAGTACATATACAGAAACAACAATTTCAAGTTTTTTATTAAGAAAATTAAAAAAATTTCAAAGAAAACAGATGACAAAAATGATATTTACACATATATAAATATTGTTTGATACGTGTTATTATATTACAAATTTTTTTTTTGAGAGAAAAATTGGTAAAAATATTAATGTTTAAAATGTAAATTTAAACGTATATCGACCACCGAATGGATCGAATCCTTGTGTAAATGGATGGAATGCATTACCATTCTGTTGTTCAGGATCTAATGGATCTTCTCCATTATCAAATTTTTGTCGTTTTTCTGGATCGGTTAACACTTCTTTGGCTGCAGCAATATCAATAAATTTATCCTCTGCCTTCTTTTTTTCATCACCTTGATATTGATCGGGATGCCATTTACTGGCTGCTTTACGATATGCTTTCATTATATCTTTTTTCGTTGCATGACGTGGAACGCCAAGAATTTTGTAATAATCACGTTTTTTCGATTGTTTTTTCAATCTTTCGGCTTTATTATAGCCATCTTTGGCACGGGTCATGTTTTCGTCGATTTGTAACACTTTTTTATAATCACTTGATGCTATGTTTGTTATAAGGAAAAAAGGATGAAATTTTAATTCAAATTTATTATTTGCTTACCATCATCGTAATTTTCAAGATTAATATATGAATCAGCTCTATCACATAATGCATGGATATCGTTTGGATGTAATTCTAATACTTCTGTGCAAACTTTGATGGCTTGCTGGGAATCTCCTTTCTAAACAACAACAACAACATATATCGGATACAGAGAAAAAATATTAGAATTTCATTCAAAATCCTAAATTGTAATTTACATACCAGATTTAAACAATGGCATAATTTTGATTTGAAAAGATGAACCAAATTCGGCATCTGATTTTCCAATTCTAAAGCTGCTTGTAATTTATCAATACAACCTTGATGATCATGTTTTGAAGCAAATTCTGTCCCACTTTTATAAAGATTGGCCAATTTTTTCACTTTTTTATAATGTTGATGACATTGCTTATGATCGGGATCCAATTTCAAACATTCACGTATTGCATTCAACGATTCTTCTGGTTCACCAATCTGATAATGAAGTTTACTTAGCTTTAGGAATCCATCGGTGTTATCGGATTTCATTTTTGTTAATGCACGTAAATCGTTTATTGCATTGATTATATCGCCAATATTTTCAAAACAATGTGCTCTCATTTCACGTAGTTCGTAGCTCCAATACAATTCTTGGCTAAGTTTATTCAACAACGGTATTGCTTCAGAACATTTACCGATTTCCACCAAATGTTCGGCAAGATATTTATCACTTTTTAAATGTTCAATCTGCTCATAATAATGATGTGCATCTGGATGATGTGGATCAACATGTATGATATATTCAAATTCTTGTTGTGCTTGATCAAGATTTCCTTGTCTATAAAGAACGACAGCTTTTTGTAATCGTGCCGGAACGAAATCTGGATTCAATTTCAAACATTCATTCAGATCATCCAATGCTGATCGATAACGACCCATTGCTTGATAAACGGTTGAACGTTTGAAATAAGTTAGATAATTATCTGGATCATTTTCTATGCATAAAAATTTGTTTTTGTTGAACAAATAAAAAAACGATTAAATTAATTAACAATTCAAGTATTAGTTTCTATATTTATTATCATACCAACAGCAAGATGATAATGAGATAAAGCATCATTTAGTTGTCCTTTCATTAATAGCTCCATTCCAAGTTCTAGATGCGTATCGACATCCGAACCATAAACACAGTATACTGTATAGAATTGGATATAAAAATGTTAAATTTCAATTTGAAAGAAAAATTTTTCCAAAAATCACTTACAAAGATTAAAAACAATATCGAATAATAATGGAAAATAGATTTTAGCCATTGGTGGCATCTTGATTACCATAGATGCTTGTACCATTTTTATTTTGGATTTTGTTTCAGATTGCCACTCGAATGTAAACAAAACAAAACAAAAAATTTTGATCCAAAATCCAAAATATGGTGATGACGTATGCCAATCAATCAATAAATTACTGGCTGGTCAAACGATGCAATTTTATTAATTTAATTATTAATTAAATTAGATTCAATTTAATCAATGACCATATGAATGATGCAAATAGTAATTTTCATTGAAAATGAATGAATGTTTCTATGTTTGGCTTTATGTGTGTGTTGTAATAATCATAACTTGCATGCAAATAACAACGAAAAAAATGCCATGTATCGTGTTAACATGTGATTGGCTAAACCAAAAAGGGGAGGATAAAAACATTCGGATTACGCATGCGCATTATCAAATTTATAAAAAAAAATTTTAATTATTAATCATTTTTTGCTGATTAATTCAATTAATTAATAATGATGATTGTGGATTGTGGATATCAAATTAATGGTGCTTATTATAATATCTGATATTGGCCAATAGATTATAATCGATAAATTGACATTTACTTTCAAAAATGAATGGTATGCTAAATGTACGTAATATATTTGGTGATCGTTTTTGATCAAGAAATGGTAATGATTTAATTATTATCCATGATTCTGGATGTTTAGAATATGGATAATCACGGCCATAATAATCTGGATAATCTGAATCAATAATATAATGACAATCCTTTTGAACATTTTGATGTAGCGTTCGGTTTCTTCTTGATTCATATCATTCATATGATCAGGTATCGTACGAGTTGGATATGTGACATTTGTATCAAAATGTTTAGGTAATTGTCCACGAAATTCCGATGCAATAAATTCAATTCGAAATTTAGATGGAATGAAAAAATTACTTGGAAATCGATGCCATTCTTTGCCTAGGCAAATAATTCTTGTTGTTGTTGTTGTTGTATTATATAAAGTCGAATCGATAATCATGTTTGGTTCCCAGAATTTATGATAGATATTCATTGATGAATAATATCCTTCGAATAGTGCAGATATTCTAGCACTGCTGAGAATGAAAAATATTGAAAATGATAAACCAATCAATTTTCGCATAAATGATTGTAAACGGGGAAAAACAGGCGACAATCAATGTCAAATTGTTGAATGTCAGAGATGTTGTCAAACACAATAAAGGATAGATTGGATACATAAAACGTTCTTCTTTATGAGCTTGATAAAAGAATATCATATACCAGAGATGTAATGAACAATTTAACAAAAATTGCATAATCCAATTCTGGTTTTATTGGAAATTTTACACTCATAAACCATGTGATCATCTATGGATGTGTAATTATTTTGAAATTATTTCAACGATTGAAAAAGAAATCTACTCACCAAAATCGGAAAAGATGATAAAGAAATGAAAAAGAAAATGTTGAAATTAAGGAATAAATTTCTTATGTAGTATGAAAATGGTTCAGTTCCATAAATATTTGGACCATGTTCACTGAACACATTGTAAAGGATAATGTTCAAACTGGCAAATACAAATTTACCATAATAATATGAATCGATCGCAATAGTTGGTATTAATATTATCAAAGCCGAAATGCAAGACGCTTTAATGAATTGTTTCGGACTTGACAGAAGAATAAATAATGCCATAGGGATTCTAATTGGTTATGGATTTCAATTGAAATTTATTAATAAATTTGATTAGAAAAAAATTCTTTGAAAATCATACCCAATTACCGAAATGAATGGCCAACCAAGAATCGACCCAAAAGCAAAGAAAAAGATGAAAAGCTGATCATTGTCACGAAGCCAAAAAGCCAATGATAAACAAACAATGTAGATGGCAAATGAACTTGGAAGAAATGTTGTCATCGAATTGAACATACCGGCAGCCAAACAGGAAGTAGCACAATAATAGACTGCAGTTTGATTACCAAAATATTTTCGAATTGATCTAAATCAAAAAAAAAAAATTAAATTTTTTTCAATACAATCATTACTAACATGAATAAAAAAGTTTCGATAGAAGCCGAAATCATCACCATATAAAAACGGGTAATGTAGAAGATCACAATTTTACTAAAAAAAAATTTCAACAATTTAGCAGGTAGCATATAAAGCCATAGATATGCATATGATCGGATAGCGTATTTGGGTGAATATTCCCATGTTTGAAATCCATTACCATAGATTAGAAAATGTGATGGTTCCCAATAGTTAAATGTTTCATCACAATCATTAATGTTATTCCATAAAGCTGAACAAAGACGTGCAAATAGAAACCAAACGAATATCCATTTAGTTGATATGTAGGAATGAGTGTTTGTTTCTGATTGCTTCGTATAATCTTGATCTTGTTGTTCATTTTTTACCCGAGGCGGTAATGATGGTTTCCGCTGTTTGCCTAATCGACGTTTGGTCGGCATTTTGGTTGATTGTTAAAAAAAAAATATTTTCCACAACCAAACATCTGTTGCCAAATTCAATATTACAATAGATAATGACAATAACAGATGGCGTAACATTTGCATTAATTGTTGACAGATTTGTTTGATTCTGTTAAAAAAAAAGAATCGGGTGTTGTCAAATAAATGTGATTCTTATTCAATTCAATACGATGATAATGGATTATCTATTTTGTTTGAATCGATGTTTTGGATTTCAATCAACACGATTAACACATTTTGAACAATCATTTAATGAAATATGTTTGGATGGAACAAGTGTTGGTTCGTTTTTTCACAATCTTTAAATTAAATGTAATTGGCGCTTATCAATTGGTTTAGGGAACGATGTGGTTATCATTAAAAAAGGACGTCGAATATGTGGCAGTGGTGGTGCTATAACCAATTTTCCAATCGTACAAAACAAAGCCTATTTCGAGGCTAAAGTTCAGCAATCAGGTATCTAATGGAATTTGACAAATGAATTGAATTCATTCGATTTTTTGTTTTTCTATATTTTTTTTCTAGGCAATTTTGGTATTGGCCTTGCCACTAGTAATGTAGATCTGAATACAATACCATTAGGTACCGATAGTCAAAGTTGGGTATTACGACAAGATGGTACGATTGTACATGATAATAAAATCTTATATCAATTAGGCAATGATATCCAAGAAGGTGATATCATCGCCATACTTTATGATCATGTGGAATTACGTTTTCATATCAATAATAAACCAATCGAATATGAAGTACGTAATGTAAAAGGTTCAGAAATATATCCAGTTGTTTATGTTGATAATGGTACAATAATTGATATGTATTTTTCAAATTTCACACATCAACCACCATCATCATTTGATGCTATATTAATTGAAAAAGCATTACTTTGATGACCATGTGTCTGTTTGTTATCATTATTTTTTTTCAAATTGTTTTGTTTGTTTCAAAAAATTGATTTATTCATTATTAATCAAATATTTACATTATTACAAAACTTACATGCACACACACACATATGCACATATAATATCTGGTATTAATTAATTGATGAAAAAAAAAAAAAAAATTTCTTAAATCAATTATTCGATTGTTTTTGTTTAATCATCTCTTTGAATTGTGTTAGAATTTTGGTTTCACGTTTTGTACGTTCTTCTTTATTAAACATTGCCAATGCACGTTTTTCATCTGCACTATAGATTTGATTTTCTTTACGTATACGTACAGCTTCCATACGACGATGACGACTACCGCTCATTACATAGCCAACTTCTTCAAATGATTCAATTTGATCGCTAGTCAAACCGATTTCACCACGACGTGGTATACGTTTACCTTCGTTTACAAATGCAGCCATTGCTGCACCTTCACCTGGTAACAATGCTTTACCGAAATCACGATTATTCAACTCTAATGTTTCAATCGGTGCTGGTCCAACAATATCACTTTCATCGTTTTCATCATGTTTTTCATTCAATTTACGTTTCTCATTAAATTCACGGACAAATTGTTCCTCTTCAGCTGTTCGGAATTTTATTTCATCATCATTATTACATTCTGACGATGATGACGGTGATGGTGATGATGAATGTCTTCGCTTTTTATGTTTATCTTTTTTTCGTTTTTTCTTCTTTTCCTTTTTCGATTTATGTTTGCTACTATGTTTATGTTTACGTTTTTTACGATCATTTTTTCCATTCATATCATTAATATTTTCAAAATTATCATCATCATCATCATTTGATGTTTCACTATTATCCGTAGGTATTGGTGATGTATTCCAAATATAACCGACACCATTTCGGCCAATCGATTCACGTTGTTTTCGTCGTTTTATCCAATAATCTCTGAATGAAATGAAAAATAATGAGAATATAATTGAAAAATCAATTTCAAATCAATTTACCTATTGTCTTTATGGTCATAATTTCGTCTATCATATTTATCATGTCTATAATCAGAATGATAATAATCATCATCATTATTGTGACGGTTATGATGATGATGATGATGATCACGATGAATTGTTGACATTTTTAAAATTAAAAATTTTAAAAAGAAAAATGAGCAACTTGTAACGATACGTTCTGTGTGCAGGGAACAATGCTTGTTAAATTTATCAAAATTCTAATCAACTTGCAATGTATGAACAATGCATAGAAAAAGCCGCTTCCTTTATATGTACATTGTTGTTTTTTATACTCATTCAGTTCAACGTGTTTCCTTGTCTTTTTTTTGTGTTTATGAAGTAAAGATTTTTTCAATTTCAAATAAATTTTCATTTTTCCAGAATCAAAAATGATGGACGATCATGATTCCGATGATTATGATGATAATGGATCCGAATATGAAAATGTTCCCGATCAAATTCAAGAATTTATTCTCAATTTAAGAAAATCTATTGTTGATCGAAATGTTTATGAGATTCAAGCTCTTTATGAAAATAATTTCAATAAATTGACCGAAATGTATTATAAAAGTGAACCATGGCCAAGTGAAAATGCTGTCAGAATGATCATCGATTCAAATGATAAGGATGATTTCATTTTTCTCATTCTTTACAAAGATCTTTATTTTCGTCATTATTATTCATTGGATGCCGAAGTACCGACCGAAATTCGATTGAAATCATTTTTTAATTATTGTGAATTATTCAATTATATTCTTTCGAAAAACACTGAACCATTGGAATTGCCCAATCAATGGCTTTGGGATATAATCGATGAATTTATCTATCAATTTCAATCGTTTACAGCTTTCAAAGCTAAAGCGGCCGAATTATCACCAGAAGATAAGGAAAACATTAACAAACCGAATGTTTGGAATGTTCATGCCGTATTGAATGTTCTTTATTCATTGGTGGATAAATCAAACATTAATCAACAGCTTCGTGAATTTAATAATGGACGTGATCCGGATCTTGTTGCTGGTGAATATGGTCGTCTGATTTTTTACAAAATGCTTGGCTATTTTAGTTTGATTGGCTTACTAAGACTTCATTGTATGCTTGGTGATTATTATTTGGCCATTAAAGTTTTGGAAAATATTGATTTAAATCGTCAACAATTGCAAAGTATGGCTATATCACGTGTATTGGCTTGTCAAGTGACAACATTCTATTATGTTGGTTTTGCCTACATGATGATGCGTCGATATTCCGATGCTATTCGTACGTTTTCAAATATTTTGGTCTATATGCAACGTACAAAACCGATTTATAATTATCGAACATTTCAAATGGAAATGATTGAAAAACAAACTGATCGTATCTATCGATTATTGGCCATTTGTTTAGCATTACATCCACAACGTATTGATGAAAGCATTATGAATCAGGTGGAGGAAAAGATGCACGATTCATTCATTAAATTACGTTCTGGAGATATTAAAGAATTCAAAAATGTTTTTAAACAATCATGTCCAAAGATTGTATCATTTATGGCTAATAATATTTCGTATCGACATCAGATAAAAATTTTCCTGGAAGAAGTAGAACAGCAACAAAAATTATTGGAAATACGTAGTCTATTAAAATTTTATACAACAATGACTATTGAAAAATTGGCAAGCATCATTGAAATACCTGCGGAAGAATTGAATCGTTATCTTCTTTGTTTCAAACATAAAATGCAAAATTATTCATCATCATCAAAACAATTGGATGAATTTCAATCCGGTTCAGATGTTGATTTCTATATTGATAAGGTTAGTATTATTTATCATTTGTGTTGTTGATGATGATGACTAAAATTAAAATTGAAATTTTCAAACTATTGATGAATTAACTATAGGACATGATTCATATTGCTGACACAAAGGTGGCACCACGTTATGGTGATTATTTTCTACGACAAATTTATCGTTTTGATGAATTAAATCGAGTCGTTAGCAGCATTGTGGTTTGATGACACAACACAACCATTAATTTCATTATTTGTGACATGATCAATCGGAAGAAAAAAAAACTTGATGGAAATTACATATTTGTGATTGAATGAATGAAAAAAAAATAAATTCTTTTTTTTTAATAATTTGAATAATAAAGAAATTGAGAAATCACAATTGAGATAATCATTTCAATCAAAAATATATATATACAAAATACAAACAAATACACACATACATTCACACACACACACACACACAACGCATATGGCCTAAAAAATATTATTACAAATGATACAAGTATTCCCAAAAAAAATACAGGAAAATAAAATCAGAAAAAAAAAAATGAAATGAAATAAATCACAGCAAATCAATCAATTAAATGATGATAAAGGAAGGAAAAGATGGGTAAACGAAAGAGAAAGAGAGGAATCATCAATAACAAGCAAACAAATAATTGACGATAATTTCATTGATATAGCCAAAATGTCAATAATGTTGATGAAATAATAATTAGGATTTGTGAATTGTAATTTGGTCGATTATTATGTCCCAATGATCCAGCCGTTTTTGTTATATCCAATGTAATGATTTTTGTTGTTGTCGTCGTCGTCGTCGTTGTAATGGGAGTGGTGGATTCAGTTGAATCGAAATGGATGTCATTATTAGATGATGATTGATTTGTTCGTGGATCATTATGCTGATATATTGGATTTTTATTATGTTCATGTTCGTCGATGGAAGATGAATCAATAAAACCGCTGCCATCGTCGTCGCCCGATGATTCACCACTTCCATCATCGGATATTTCATCATCAATTGGAGCATCATTGTCAGTATCAACTGTATTAATGAATTAAAAAATGAATTAAAATAAAATTTTTTATCCATAAAAAAAACATCTGGTTTTTGTTTCATTTTTTTTTTAAAACATACAATTATTTTCAAAATCCACATCCAAACCATTGTATGCTTTATTCAGATTGAATGAAATTAATCGTAATGTTGAGATCTGTTGATTGATGATTTCGACATTGTTTCGATCACGATAATTTGGCTCATCTGAATTTCTGTTTTTTTATATATAATGGTGAAAAAAAGAGGGGAAAAATAAAATCCTTTTCAATTTTTTTAAGTTTAAAAATTTCACATACCGAAGCGTCTGATTAGCAACACAATTCGCACTGGTACTATAATATGAACATAATTTTCTTGGCAAATTTGACCAAAAATTTTTAAATGTTTTGAAATCATTTGTCATTGAATCGATTATGCTGTCAATATTTTGTTGTTGTTGAAGCTGCTGCTGCTGTTGTTGTTGTGAAAGTGATGATGGTAATTGCCTATGAGAATTGTTCATTGTATTTGGTATTCTTGGAAATTGGTATGGCTTTCCAACATTCGATGTTGTTGTTGTTGATGATGGTAATGATGATGATGATGATTATTGTATGGTTGATTTAGTACTGGATTATCATTTCGTTTTTCACGTTTACGATGAACAGGTCGGCCACATTTGTTAAATAGCTGTGTGCATGTATGGCAAGCAAAAATTAATTAATATCATATACCTAATATCCAATTCATGATGATATTTTTATCGTTTGTTTGTTCATGTGTGTGTGTACAACATGAATAAATTACTAATACTTACCCTCTGTGAAATAGTACGGCCATTTTCCTGGAAATTCATAATTGCATCCGATATTTGTATATGAATAGGGCTAACGATATGTTCAATATTGAATGATGTTTTCAATCGACTAGCTAATCGTATCATATCGTTGAGATATTTATTCCATTCTTTATTGAGATTATTATGACATTGTAGACAACATTTTTCCAAAAAATTCATACATGTTGATTGACATATGACATTTACATTGTTTGCTGTTGAATGATGACCATTTATGCATCCATAACAATAGGATAATGAATGTAGACGATTTTCACAGGTCGTACTTGTGGGCAACTAAATTCAGATTGAAATTGAATTAGAAAAAATTATTTTCTCAACAATAATTGATTACTACTAACCTCGATGATTGTTTTCAATATATCACTACCATATCGAAGTGCCTGTACAAATGTACGAATAGCAACAAATGAACGTCGTACCTGTACAATTAATTTTTGTGGCAATTCACCAAATGGCATCATTTCTTCCATATGTTCTACTGTACAATTAAGATAATTTGCATCAAATGCATATTGTGCATTCAATTCTTCAAACATTTTTTTATATAAAAGATTAAAAAATTCTTTCATAGCCATTGTAAGATCTAATTGACCATCATTGTAATATTGTTCAAGATTATGAAACATATTATTGAATATGAATGAATGACGATCATATAATATTCCATATGTATCGGAAAACATTCGATGAAAATCCGCATGTGACATGGTTAATACATGGCGAAAGAATGCTGTGGAAAAAAAATTAATAATAATAATAATTCATGAGTTCATAATTCATAATTCATAATAATAATAACATAACAAATCACAGTAAAAAAATATTCGTCAAAAGTTTTGTTTTTTGTTACTTTGGTGTGTTATATACATTCACATTGTTGAAATTCCATTCCATGTACACACACACACACACACATAGTTATAATATTGGAATTTTCTGAAAAAAAATATTCGTGAATTCTCATCATTTTTTCTTTATTTCTTTTCGATTGATTATTATATTAAAAATGGAATCATCATTTTGGGTGAAACTTACAAACAACAGCAATTACAATAGATAAAGATGGATGGATAAAGTTAAGAATTAAAGCGAAAATGATTGAAAATCATTTGATCACGATTTTTTTCTTCGATGTTTTGTATGTGTGTGTGTATTTGGTCATCATCATCATAGCTTGTATGAATGAACCAAACGAAAATAAAATTATTGTTGCGTGTTGAATTGAAATATTAATGATGATGATGATGATGATGATGATGATGAATAAAAGCGAAAAAAGTGGGCTAGATAAGAAGCCAAAAGAAAAGATAAGAAGCTTCGGTCAGAAAAAAAAAGAATTTTTCCATGAAATTCGTGTCTATGTTAAATGTGGTGTTCATCTTTATCTGCAAAAAATGATTTTTTTTTTTTTAAAAAAATTTTAAATCGATAGTGTGTGTGTGTGTGTGTTTGTTTGTGTTTGTTCGATTTACTCATTCATTCAAAAATCACTTCAAAAAAAAAAAAAACATAATGAATAAATAAATCGATAAACAAAAAACGACAGGCAAGCAGAACGACGAATCATTAGTGGCTTAATTCGGATTAATGATGTACGTACATACACATCTTATCTAAATGAACATCAACCATCTGCACACAAACATATATTGATGATGATGATTAAAAAAACATTGATCAATAACACACACACACACAAACAGGTATTGGTATTCGTTCAATTTTTTTTTCCTTTCATTTATTTTATTATTATTATTATTATCATCATCATTTCTTTTGATAATCAATGTCGGCATCCAATGATGATGATCATAATGGCGTCCATAGTTTCTCTCTTCTCTCTCTCTGTGTGTGTGTGTGTGTGTGGAATTCTCCACCTTTTAGCACACCTTAGATATTAAATGTTTCGTGTATCGCGATGTGTGTTTCGCGATCGGCAATGTTCATAGAATTTTCTTTTTCTTTTGTTATTGTTGTTGTTGTTGTTTTTTTTGCCGCCATTTGATTTGTAGTATAGAACAACAACAACAAAAAAAACTGATGATGATGATGATGATGATGATGATGATGATGATGGTCATCGATTTTGAACCACTGAATTTATTTTATTTTCGATAAAAAAAATATGTGTATGTTATATGACTATGAATGATGAAAAATTTCGCTTGATCACATGCTGTGAAATGAGAAATTTATTTGGATTTTGTTTAGTTTTTTTTTTTTTTTTTTGATAGATAAACAAAGAACACCAAACAACAACAACGACAACAAAAAAAAACGAAATTTAAAATTCCAAATGGCAAATCAAGAATTTGTTGCTTTACTTGGCTTTTTCTTTTTTTTTTTGTGTAATAAGTTTTCTTAGTGTCGAACATCTCGAACAAATCCGAAATTGTATTGAATCTTGTTGTTGATGTCAATAAGAATCTTAATCAAAAGAAAAAGCTCACACATATCGGTAGTAATTAGTAAAGAAGATTATCTATCAATCAATAGGCAAAAAAAATAAAAATCTCACATGAAAACGGTCATTACCTACACACATTTATATCACATAATATAAAATTATTAACGTTGATTTTTCATTTTGACCATTTCAATAAAATTGAATCTATCTAAATCGTTTTTAATGATGAAAAGTTGGAAAAAAAAATTCGAATGTTTTTGTGTTTGTTTGATGGAATGTGGACACACAAGTCACCACCACCACCACCAACATACTATTTGCACACAAACAGGTAAATCGAATGTGGTCGTTCGAATATTTTTTTTGAAAATGTTGATAATGTAATAAATTTTTATATTTATTTTTTAAAGAAATTTTTTATTTTTCGGGAAAAAAAATTTGACGATAAAAAAAAGAGCGCGACCAACCATTTCATCATCATTATCAGAATGAAAATTAAGTGCATCATCGCTCTATCGTACATCCGGAATCTTTGATTTTTTTTCTGTTTTTGGTTTCTGTTCCATCTATCTATCATTTTTCTGTGTCAACTCCACTTTTAATCAGCAATTTTTTTTTCTGTGCAACATTTGCCCTCAAATTTTAATTTAGAAGAAATGACAAAATGATTAAATTATAATTTCTGATTGATCGATGATATGACAATCGTGATCAACCAGATTAGAGATGATATTTTTTTTCATTTGTTATTGGAATTGATTGAGAGAGAGAGAGAAAATTAAATCAAAATCAATCAAAAAATCAGTTCACTAATCAATGAGTGTTTGTGTTGTTGTATTATACCTGTTGTTTGTGTTATTTCCATATAATGTCATCATTTTTATTTTCCAACAACAAGTGGTAAACACTATAGTGTGTGATTTGAATGAATTTAAAATGAAAATGATGATGACAACCGATGATGGTGATGATGATTATTTTATGTATCGGTTAAAATTTGATTGACAAGTGTGTGTGTGTGTGTATTTAGTTGATGAAAATACAGATAAATTGTATCTGTGTCTCGTCGTTAGTCATAACAATGATTTTTGAATTTTTTTTTTCTCAATTGTAATATAAACATTGAAATAGAAAAAAAAAAATTCTTCGTCACTAAAATTGTGTCACTGAATTTGATGATGGTGGTTATTGTCAGTAAAAATTGAGAAGGCTGATTATTTGAATCCAGTGTGTGTGTGCAGGTATTAAGCGTAATTTTTTTTTCTCTCTCTCTCTTTTATGATTAGAATAGACAGGTAATATTCAGTAAATAATAATGTTAACTATGTTTATTTTGAATATATAAATAAATACGGTAAATATTTGGCTAATGATGATAATCCTCTTTTTTTTCTAAGAATAGACGGGGGGCTTTTAATGATAAAAATATTATATTTCATAAACATGATCTGATGACATTATCAACAAACCAATCACCAATCATCATCATAATCATATTTGACCTCATGTAAGTAGTTTTCTCTCTCTCTCTCTTTTCTCTTGACAATTATCATTTTTTTTATAATCATATTTAAGGAATATACAAATCCTGAATGTATATTATCTGAAAGAAAATGTGATAATAATATCGTCATTCATTACATACATGCAAACATACACACACATTTACAATTGTTGTATGATGGACAATAAGGTAATAATTCTATCAAAAAAAAAACCTAGACAGGTATATGTCTTTTTTTAGGCTGGTGACAATATTCACTAAATTAGTTTTTCAAAAAAATGAACAATAACATTCATGTGCATTTAGACCATTAGATAGATAATTTGAACTTTGAGTTTGTGCGTGTGTGTGTATATGATAGGGTTTTCACATTTTTTTAGCTATTCATTTTCGGTTTAAATGCTGAAAAAAAAAAAATCTTTTTTTATTTTTATTTTTATTGATCTTTTCTTATTTTTCAATTCCATTCTTCACATTGTTTCAGTTTTTTTTTCAACTAGAAAATCAGTCAAATAACAATAACAACAATGATGGCAATAAAGGCTTAAAAAATCGACAATCCTAAATGACGGTATGTACCATGATGATGATGATGATGATTACAAGGTTATCATCATCATCATCATCATTTTGTTGTTGTTGTTGAAAAATATATACATGGCTACAAATATAACAAACAAATAAACAATCCGAACAAACAAACAAACAAATAATAATAATAAAACGGCCATTGAGCTATTTGAATATAGAAGGTAGCAAATATAGGCATACACACACACACACAAAATCAATGGTAAGCCATTTTTTTAAATATTTCTTACCTTTATGATATGTACCCACTATACACACTACACTTTCAAAAAAAAAAAAAAAAAAACAGCAAGGTAATAGTGTTTTTTTCTGGGGTTTCAAAAAAAAAAAAAAATTCCAATTACAATGTACAATCCGACTAAAGTTTGGCCACCATCATCATCATCATCATCATCAACGCTATCACCACCGCCACCACCAGCACCGCCAGCAGCAATAAGCGATTCTACATTTTCATATAAAAAAAAGTCAAAGTCTTCGATATTGATGGTCGTCGTCGTCGTCGTTCGTTCGTTCGAAATAAAAAGAAAATGAAATCAATGTATATATGAACGAACGAAATGAATATTATAGAATGGAAATGGACAAAACCAAAGGTGAGAAAGAAGAAATGTGTGTGTGTGTGTGTGTGTATATATACAAGTCATCGTTTAATATTTATAATAATACCCCTCATACTCCCCACCCAGAAAAAAACAGCATAATAGCATGATATCGAAAGCTATGTTTCTTTCACATACATCAAGAATTCTGTTTTGTTGTTGTTGTTGTTCAAAAGCTGAAAAAAATTTCTGTTTTTTTTTTTGTTTTGTTTTGTTTGACGAAGTACGAGGTCCAATCATCGGACCAAATCTCCGGCAAAAACGAAACAAGAACGATAAACGAAACGAATATTTAAGCAACAACAACAACAACAACAACAACAACAACAACCAAACTTAAATGAATGGTAAAAAAAAACTTGTTTTAGTCTTTGGCCAGATTTTGTTGTTGTTATTGTTATGATTTTTTTTTCTTTGTTGTTATTTTCGATTATCATTTTTTACAATTTTTTTTTTCTTTCTCGATTAATGGATTCTGTAGGCAAAACATTTATTTGTCATTTCAAAAAAAAAAAAAAAAATTGATTTTTCCCCCAAAAAGAATGAATCATCAATTGAGAAACCGGAAAAAAGTAATTGAAAAAAATTAATTTTTTTTTTGCTAATGTCATAAATATTTATATATATTTCATTTCACAGGTTGTTTTGTTTGTTCCGTTATTATTATTAATTTACTAAAAAAGTTTTTTTTTTTATTGCAACTTGTTGATCACGATTGATTGATTGATTTGCGATTGTCATTGAAAAGAATAATTACACACACACACACACCTACACTATATATACATTTTCTATGTCATCATCATCATCATTATCAATTGGATTGGAAAATATTTTCATAATTAAAATGATGGATATCTAAATGGCAAATCAAAATGATAATTTTTTTCTGATGAATCAAACAAACAAACAAAAAAAAACACGAGAGCCGATGCCGCCTAATCTATCGAACAGGATTGATTGATTGATTGATAGATTGATAGATTGAACATCGAGGTTCTTGTTGTTGTTGTAAATCAATGTTTTCGTTTTTGTGTATTAGGCCTACGCACAACAATCATCATTTTTTTATGGTTTTGTTTGCTCATTACTCTGTGTGTGTGTGTTTGTTGTTCAAGCTTATTTATTGATTATTGATTGATTGTACATACACATAAACAACACACACACACACATCTTGAACATTTGAACAGGTGATGTTTTATCATTTGGCTTTTTTTTCTTTGGTTCTGGTTTACATTGTATAAACACACATACACACACACACACACAAAAATTATCCAGACATACAAAAATTCTTTCAAACACACACACACACACACAGAACAAGTTTTTACTTACCATCAAAATTATAATGTTGTTTAATAAATATTGTTCGTATCTCATTAATCGATTCTTTATAAGCATTTTCGAAATTAATTCTTGGATTATTATTATGATGATAATATATTGATGATAATGATGATGATGATGATGAAGATGCTGCGCGGCGGCGGCAGCAGCAGCAGATGATGATGATGATGATGATGGCTGTGAAGAACGTTGATGATTAGAAGGATGTTGTTGATAAGTATAGGTACCAATCACAGGTGTATACATATTATTATTATTATTATTATTATTGTTACTAATACTACTACCATGAACAATATAAAAATTATTTTGATTTTGATTAAAATCAATGGCAATTATGTATAGCATCATCATCATCATAATTATTATTGATGATAATCGATTTAAATAACAATAACGGTATGTATGATGATTCATCGTTATTGTCCATCGTTGTTGCCACCACCACCATGATGATATCGTCATCATCATCATCATTATTATTAACAATGGATACATTTTTATATTAATATTAGATCAACGACAAATGATTTCAGATTCTTATCAGATTAAAAATATTGGTTATATTATCGTTGATTAAGTGTCTGCTTTCGTTGAGAAGGTGGTTTTGGTGATTGGTGGTAGAGGGTGTGTGTGTGTGTGTGTGTGTGTATGGTGCGGTGTGGTATGTGGTGTGGTGAAAAGATTCATTCATAAGATTTTTTTTCTATTCATAAACACACAAACATGTATTGTTGGTTGAGATATATATATGCTGAGAAAAGGCTATTGACATTTACATGACGAAACAAACAGAAACAGAAACAGAAACCGACATACACATCGATGACATTATTATTTTTTTTGGCAGACATTTTTTTCTGGTGTAGCTTTTCTTTCGGTAACGATATTAGAATTAATGATGATGATGATGATGTTTGATGGCCTCGTTTTTGTTCGTGCAAATTCAAAGAAAATTTAAATTTCCGAATGAAAAAAAAGTTTTCTTTTGAAATCAAACGAAATATTTAGAATGAATGGATTTTTTTTCGAAGAAAAATCTTATAAGGTCAGAGAGAAAAAAAAAACTCCGACAATGTTTGATCACAAAGGACAAAGAAGCATATGACCGTTGTTGTTGTTGTTGTTGTTGTTTATACGAAAGGTCATATGAAATGGCCAACAAATGTCAACTTCCGAATCGTTTTTTGTGTATCATATGACCGTATTTATCAGAGATACAGAGAGTAAGAGAATCAGAAAATGTAGAAAGTCAATGTGATCCAATGATGATGATGATGATGATGATGATAATGGTTTTCCATCGTAACGAAAATGAAAAAAAAAACACCATACAACCAGTAGCAGCAACAGAAACAGTTGTTGTTGTTACTAAAGTTCCAAAATACTTTTCACGTTAAATTTTCTGAAACTGTTGTGAATTGGTCCAAAGTTTTCTTTATTTGAGTTTCATGATTTAATGGATCATCAATCTTCATGGAGAAAAGAAATGAGAAACAGAAAAAAAATAACAAACTTGGATTTGGAATTTAATAATGATGGTCCCACACACACACACACACACAGATATATATGGAGAGATTGCACAATAAACTATATATATATGGTTTTGGTGAATGAATGACAAGGACAAGTTGTTGTTGTTGTTGTTGTTGTTATTGGAACGAATGATCCATAATTTCTCGAAAACTTTCTCTTTCTAAAGCTCCATTTCTGGTTGTGGATAAATATAAAAAGGCAAAGAAGACACACAACTATACGATCCTTAAGAACCACATGAATTCATAGAAACCGATCCAAGACTAGTACCAGTACCAGAAATGAATCGGTCGAGAAAAAATTTTCAAGGGCTTTTTCCAGTACACACACACACACACACATATATAAACAAACATTTGATAAAAACTTGAAAATTCAAAGACACAAATTCTATATATTTAAAATGGTCGATCCGATAGCACCAGAATCCAGAAAAAACCGACCAACGAATCAATGATGATGGTTAATGGCAATCACAGAGAATGAACCAACAACTATGAATGACTATCATCGACTGACTGACTGACTGACTGACTGATCGACAAGGCATTTTTTAGCCTTAGTTTTTTTTTACCGATTTGGAGGAGAATCAAAATCCTATGTTTATGTGTATGTGTGTGTGTGTGTGTGTGTAAGTTGGATGTGGCAAGAGGAGTAGTTGTTTCACCATACCAACGACAACAACAACAACAACAAATCATCATTGAAAAAAAAGGAGAAAAAATAAAAACCAACCAATCTACCATATGTAATAATAATATGTATTTTACATTTTTACCAAAGCAAGTTAAGTGTGTGTGTGTGTTGTATATCAAGGCTCACACTATACACACAAATTGTGATATTGATATATCGAGAAATGAAAGCCGGCTTTGACTTGAAAGTTTTTTTTTTATTACGGATTGAAGAAACTAAGGTAGAAACACGGTGGTGGTTACAGTGGTTCTCTACCGATTGATTTACCGGAATGAAAATGAATTGAATTGGAAAAATGAAACAAATTTTTTTTTTTTCATTGGGTTTCACAAAATGTTTCATGATCATTTTGTTTTTGTTTTCTTAAAAGTCGCGCGCCTCGTCATTTTGATTCAATTCATGATATTCACTAATAACCACCACCACCACCACCACTGTATGTTTGAATATAGTCGTCGTCGTCGTTTTTCATTCTTTTTTGTTTTGTTTTGTTTTGTTTGAATAAAATAGAGCCGCGATCATCAGTTATTGATTACACACACACACACACACACTCTCCAGGTGACAACACCTGAATTTAAATAAATATGACCCTTTCGTTTATCGTTAAATATCATCATCATCATCATCGTTTGAATCGCAACAATCTTTATGATATTGTCAAATTTGACATTTTTTTTTCTCAACAATAAAAACGAAGAAAAGAAAAAGAAACCGTTTGTCGAGAAGAGTGGTGAATATATATCTTTATTATTATTATCACCCGATGGAATGGAATGGAATGAATGAATGGTAGAAAAGAAATAAAAAGAACCAAAAACTCAAACTCACTTGATTGAATTGTAAAATATTTTCAAGTTTTTTTTTTGCTTTTACTTAATTCTTTATCATTCATGACCTTTTTTTTCTTCGTTACAAATTGGCCATATATAAGATAAAAGATCTGATTGCTCGGTAGGTCGGTAGTACCAGTATTTGTCCAGTTCTCAAAAGATTAAAATCTTTTTTAAAAATTGATCATCAATAATAAAAATTGTCTAAAAAAAATTACCTGTGTAACTATGAGTTGAGTTGTTTTTTATTTGAAATTTGTAGGTCATTTTTTTTCTTTTTCTTCTTGGCGAAAAAAAACAAACTTTATTGAATTCTGTATGCCATACACACACACACACCACTTGTGTTCAAGAAAAAAGATGTTCAAATATGATAATTATCGTTCGTTGTTTGACCAGTTGTAAAGCTAATAAAGGGTTTTGTTGTTGTCGAACAGGATATATTTCGTATCCCGTAAATTGAATTTGGATTTTTATTTTCTCACCGAAAAAAAAATTCGGAAACAAGTTATGTTGATGAGTGAATCAGAAAAAAAGGGTCGAAATATTGGTTATTTTCTCAAAGTTTTCAACCTTCCTGGTCGTTCGTATGTCTTTCTCTCTTTAATTCGATCGTTGATCTTGAATGTGTGTGTGTGTGTGTGTCTCTCTTTTCATGTTTTTTTCATCATCATCATCATCATTTTAAATATAAACTTCCATGGTCAATTCGTAGAAGAAGAAGAAGAATATGAAGAAACGATGTCATGTTATATCATGTCAATGTTGTTGCTATTGATGATGATGGTGGACAACAAATCATATCATTCGTATCCATATGATTTTTTGGTTTGCTGCAATATGACGATGATAATTCGTGATTCAACATTAATCATATGGTGGTTAGCAACAATATTTTGGATAATCATCGAAATTCGTAGCCAATCATGTGGTCCACGTATTAGTCCAAGATTATTAAAAGAAAATGTGATACCTTGTGATATAAATACAAATGGTTATTGTACAGAACCTGGTCAAGCATATCCATGGAGTTCAATGAGACGTTTTATATTTGAAAATCAAGGTTTTGTTAAAAAAATGTATGGTGAACAGCGGCAAAGTCAAATAATTCATGATGAACTTGAAAGATTAAATAATCTTTATCAAGATTCATCGTCGCGATTATCATCAGCATCTAGACGTCATAGTAAACAACGACAAAATTTTGGTAAATTAAATTCCAATCACAATGTTGATGATGATTCGAACAAAACCGGTGATGATCGTTTTCAATCGAAACATAGTCAAGCAACAACAACAACAACAACGACAACAATAATGATGACGGCAACCACCGATCATTATGAACAAGATTTAATTATTAATGAGAATCAATCAATAACTGATAATCCGATCATCAATGAATCACGTTCATTATCATCATCCAACGAATCTACGAATATTTTGGTGGACAATGAAAAATATTGATGATGATGATAATAATAATAATAATAATAATAACATCGTTATTGATGATAATGTGACCGATGTTGAAGATGAAAATTACGATGATGATGATTATGGTGGTGGTGGTGGTGGTATGACGACCACAACTACGACAACGACAACGATGACAACGGTCAAAGGTTATAATGCATGTCCAATTACTCAAGAAGTGGTTGCACCATACTGGGCAAATAATACCCGTGGTGAAACATTAGCATTATTAAATGTTTATCCATTCGAACAATATATTCATTGGGAAAAATGTACGAATGAATATGAACAAATGTTCTGTAGAGATGGTTGCCGCTGTGAACAACAATATCGGCTACATCGTCTATTAGCATTTGATCCTAAAAATGAATGTCGTGGTATTTTCGCAGATTGGTTTCGTTTTCCTGGCTGTTGTGTTTGTATCTGTTATGATTATTATCATGACAATGATCAACAAAATCAACAACATGAACGGATTAATAATCGAAAAGCTCGTCTTTGAAACCGATTCGAAAATTCATATTCAATCACTAGCACTGTATTATATATCAATGAAATTTACCATTTTTTTGATGAAATCGAAAATCAAATCCAAAAAAGCACTGTAAATATCAATAATCAATAATTTTTGAGAATAAAAATTGAATTGAATTGAATAAAATTTTAAAAATCAAAATAAAAAAAAATTCTTAATTACAATCATAGACAATAGATGGTGACATGGTCGTTTCTTAAATTTCACGTGTTTCGCCACTATAAACGCTGAAGCAACTTCCACAAGTCAAGACATATGTGACTCGCAGTGTGTGTATGTGTTTAAAAAAAAAATGTTCGGATTTCATACATGCACGAGTTGAAAAGAAATCATCATCATCATCATTTCAGCAGCCATCGTAATCGACATCATTTAATATATCTTTTACAATAAATTAATTTAAAAAAAATTCAACTTTTTCATCTAAAGATATCCACAGAAAGAAAAACAAAAATAAAATGGATGAACTAAGTGAATTTAATCAATTATTGAACAATCTTCTCAGTACGGAAACTGAATTTCGGCAAAAAGCCGAAGTAAGTTGTTTATTTGGGTTTGTTTTTTTTTGAGATAAATTCGATTAATTTTTATCATCAATTTTAGAAAATTTACAATGCGATTCCATTGAATAATAAAATTCGTCTATTGTTCATGGCCATATCGGATGATACAAAATCTGAAGAGGTAAAAAAAATAATGTCATTTTAAACCATATATAATATATAATATTCATCGACAATAATTTCTTTCTATAGACCAGACATTTGGCAGCCATTTTAATGCGTCGAATTCTATTCAAATCAACAATGGAAGAATTATCGAAAGAAATGGATGAAAATTATTTTACACAATTGAAAAATTCCATCCTTGCACTCGTGCAAAAAGATACGATTCCTATGGTGTTGAGGAAAAAAATTTGTGACATCATTTCGGAATTGGTTACGAAATTTATCGATGATGATGGTAATAATCGTTGGCCAGAATTGTTGAATTTTATGTTTACTGCAGCCAATTCAACGAATCTTGAGCTAAAAGAATGTTCATTAATCATTTTAAAGTAAGTTTGTTTTTTTTCCTCATTCACTGTTTTTATCATCATTTTTTTTCCTTGACAGCACTTATCCGAATATTTTCGGTAAAGAACAGAATAAATATCTGGATTTCATTAAAAAAATGTTGCTAAAATGTTTGGTAGAAGAATCGAATGAACAGGTAAAATTGGCCGCATTAAAAGCAACCATTTCGTTCATATTGGACAATAGTGAAGATAAAACAATCATCAAAATTATGAGCGACACAATTCTACCAATGTTGCAGATAACGAATACAGTAATTGAAAATGATGATAATCAACCATTACTTTCATTGATTGAATTGGCCGAAAAATGTCCACAAATATTACGTCCGAATTTTAATCTTTTAATGCAAATTTGTATGAAAATTATAACCAACAAAGATTGTTCGGAAAGTTTACGACATTCAGCCATTGAATTAGTGGTTAGTTTTGCTGAAAACGCGGCTGGAACTTTCAGAAAACGTGGTTCATCATATCTAATTCCATTGGGTATGTTTTTTTCTGTTGATTTTGAAAATTTTTACGAATGAATTCAATATGTATTTTTCTTTGCAATCAAGTATCACAATTTCTCATGATGATGACCGATCTTGAATATGATGATGGATGGTCACAACGTGAAGATAATGATGAGGATGAAGAAGATTCAAATAGTGACCATATTATTGGTGAAACGGCATTGGATCGATTAGCCTGTGCACTTGGCGGTAAAATTGTTTTTCCATTGGCCATCAATATTATATCTCAAATGTTACAGAATGTTGATTGGAAACAACGTTATGCAGCATTGATGGCCATTTCGGCATTAGGTGAAGGATGTAATAAACAAATGTTACCAATGTTGGATCAAATTATCACTGCTATTCTACCATTTATTGGCGATGCACATCCACGTGTACGATATGCTGTCTGTATTGCTATGGGTCAAATGGCTTCGGATTTTGCGCCAGTTTTTCAACAACAATTTCATGATAAATTCATTCCCAATCTATTACTTTTATTGGATGATAATCAAAATCCAAAAGTACAATCAAATGCTGCAGCTGCATTTGTGAATTTTTTCGAAGAAGCTAAACAAAAAATTATTCTCCCATATTTGAATGCTATTGTTGATAAATTTGAACAGGTTCTAAAGCTTAAAATTGACGAGGTATGTACCAAATCCGAATTTTTATATTTTCTAATAAATAATAATTTCTTTAATCTTAGCTAATGAAAAATGGAAACAAAAAACTTGTTTTGGAACAAATTGTGATATCGATTGCATCGTTGGCTGATTTAACTCAAGAATTATTCATCAATTATTATGATAGATTTATGCCTTACCTTAAATTTATCATTGAAAATGCTAATCATAAAGATCTTCGTCTACTACGTGGTAAAGCTATCGAATGTGCCAGTTTGATCGGATTGGCAGTGGGAAGTGAAAAGGTATTTGTTTGATTCTTTTTTCTTGTGATTCAATAATAATTCCATGTCTGTCTAGTTCTGCAATGATGCCTCTCAAATCATGAATCTATTACTCAGGACACAAACTGGTGAAGTTATTCTTGAAGATGATGATCCACAAGTAGGTTTCTGAATGAATTGTAAATTGATACATCATCAATGTTAATAAAATGATTCATTATCAATATAGTTATCTTATATGATTACATCTTGGGTGAGAATATGTAAGCTTTTGGGTCCAAAATTTGAACCCTATTTACCAATGGTAATGCCACAAGTGTTGAAAACGGCATCAATGAAGATTGAAATGGCATTTATTGAAGGTGATGTGGATTCATCTTGTGAAAATAATAGTGATTGGAAATTTTTCAATATCAACGATCAGGTACAGATGACAATGTACATTTAACAATTACTATTTTTACAATTCTTTAATTTTAATTAGCAAAATTTCGGCATCAAAGTATCATGTTTGGATGATAAAGCGACCGCTTGTGAAATGCTTGTCTGTTATGCACGTGAATTGAAACATGGTTTTGTTAATTATCTGGAAGAAACAGTCAAAATACTTGTACCATTACTCCGTTATTACCTTCATGATGGTGTACGAACAGCTGCTGCACAAAGTTTACCATACCTTTTGGATTGTGCGAAAATTCGTGGTGATAATTATGTTTATGAATTATGGAATTATATACTACCACATTTATTGTATGTGCTGGATCAGGAAAGTGAAAATGATGTTCTCATTGAATTACTTGTATCGTTGGCTGATTGTATAACAACATTAGGCATGAATGCTTTTAATGAACAACAAATGGAAGAAATGATTAAAAAATTGGATTTTCATTTTAATGAACATTTTGAACGTTCAAAAGAACGGCAAGAAAAACGACATGATGAAGATTATGATGATGGCGTAGAAGAAATTCTTAATGATGAAGATGATGATGATATTTATATATTAACAAAATTGGTGGATGTTTTGCATTCATTGTTTGTTTCGTATAATGAAAAATTTTTACCATATTTCAATCATTTATTCAAACATATTATCAATCTGGCTGTAAGTATTATTTATTACAGTAATTTTATTTTTTCCAAATTGATCTCTAAAATAATTTCATTTATTTCAATCTGAATCTGAATGAAGAAACCGGAAGCACCTGTAAGCCATCAACAATGGGCCATTTGTGTTATTGATGATCTAATTGAATTCACTGGTGTTAAATCGATTGATTATAAAGATTTTTATCTACCATTATTGATGAATAATCTAAAAAATCCACATAGTGAGCTAAGACAAGCGGCTGTCTATGGTATCGGTGTTTTAGCCAAACATGGTGGTAAAACTTTTGAACAATTTCTTGCCGATTGTATACCTACATTGGTTGCCATAATTCAAGATTCAAATAGTCGTAATGCAGAAAATATTTTTGCAACTGAGAATGCCATTTCGGCTGTAACAAAGATAATTGAATTTAATGGTGGAATGGTATGTTTATTTTTGTTAAATTGTTTGTTTGTGAATTCAATGGAAATTGATCACATCTTTTCCATATAGGCCGGTATCGATTCATTACTACCATGTTGGCTTAGCTGGCTTCCAATCTGGGAAGATGAAGAAGAAGTTATCTATGTTTATAGTTTTCTATATCAATTATTAGAAAGAAATCATCCACAAATTCTTGGTACTGATAATTGTAATGTACCTCGTATTGAATCGATCATATTGGAAGTGTTTGCACGTAATGTAATTGAACATACTAGTGAACTTGGACAAAAACTTATTTCATATATTAAATTTGTAAATGTAAGTTTGTAATAATAATGATGATGATGATGAAAAATCAAAAATCTATATTGATTGTTTTTCTTTTTCCACATATATAGCTTGACAAATCGATAACGAGTACATTTTCATCAGAACAGCAACAAGTTTTGGAACAAATTGCCAATTTATAAGAAAACAAAAACAAACAAATATGCTAGGATATATAGGAGCATATAGCAGAAAAAAAATTATTTTGGTTTTTAATTTGGTAACCACATTTAATTATTAATTAATAATTATCAACAAAAAAGAAATATTTTGAACGAAATGATTTATTTTTTTGTGTGTGTGTGTATGTGTGCTGATTCAAATAATAAAATAATTTGTATTTGAAAATAATTTTCATTTTTTCATTTAATTTACATATTTATTTATGAATATACGATATTATTGAAGTTTTTATAAAGAGATTATTTTATATTTTAAAAAAATCCTAATCGCCTAAGCATATATGTCCTTTATGGATGTCACATAATAATAGTAATATAACAGTAATATACTGTATTAACACGTGTAATTACACGTGGTTATGCTGGTTAATCGAAAAGGCATGGAAGAAGCTAGATATGATATTTTCCTACCTGTAATTAAAGATTTAAAATTGTTGCTATGTCTGAAGGAATCGCAATAAATTCAACTTCAATTCAAAATTTTGAAAATTTCAACCGATTCGGTTGAAAAAGTCGTTAAAACGAAATTTTTCAAGAACGATAGAGTCAAGATCTGTGGTTACAGCGATTCCGCCAAATTGAAAGGAAAAAACTTCAAGCCCAAAGGAACCACTGCATCGGTAATATTTTATTTTTTTCCATATATTCAACACATTAGTTTTTTTCATTTACAGAAATTTGCATTTTTCATCCGTTTGGAAGAAATTATCACTCAAATTTGAAGTGATTTCCAAACTCACAAAACGACCTTTGCGCTAAATCAAGATGAAATCTTGAAATTAAAACAATGAGCAAAGAACATTGTTAACATTTATGCTACAATCCCAAGCTGCAAATTAACGCCTAAATTCCACAAAATTTTACATTATTGGGAAAATGCATTGGAATTTGGTCCGATTTACAGACATTCATCATATAAATATGAAAGATTTCACCAATTGAACAAACGTTCAATTTCGACATCGAAGAATATGAAAAACCCATCATATTCAATGGTGAATTTCATTCAAAAAAAAATTGCTCTTACACTCACGAAAGAAAATTTTTTTGAACAAAATTTCTATGAAGATTTAGAGTAAAATCGTTTGGCAAGAAAGACCAAATAATAGGCAAAGCCGCGTAAGTATGTTCCCTTAATCACTTAAAATAACTTAAAAATAAATTTAAAATTTTTGAAATTTGATTTATTAAGAAATTCGAATTTTTCTGCCGGTTAATCGAAATTTTTCCGGAGTGGCTCACTGATCCACCTGAGATATTTTATTTTTATGATCTCGTGAGAAGGATGATCGTCTTAATATTTACAGAACCGACAGAATCCGAATTGAAAGAGCTCCAGACGCTGGTCAAATCATTCAAACAGGTAAACTTTGACATTTTTGTTGATTGTTTACTGATATTATTTTTCTATAAAATAGGAAATCAGAAAATACGATTTAATCACACCCAAAACGCATTTCCTCTCCCATTATCCCTCCCTTATAGAATTTTATGGGTGTTTAACTATTTTCTCTACAATGGCCTGGGAGAGAAAACATCGCATGTTAAAAGTGTTAATGCAACACAGCAAAAATTTCAAAAATGTTGCTAAAACTTTGATGATTTTACACAAAGCCAAACTGGCATGCGAATCGATATCCAGTAAGGATTATATGATTTCAAACAGACGGTTGTAATTATGTAATTTTCTTTTTGAAAAACAGAACCTAATGAATGGCCATTGGATAAAAATATTGTCCGACAAATAAATGATGAAAAATCAAATTTCATCCTGGCCAAGTGTTTTATTAAAATTGGCAATAAAATAATGTCAATAGGTGGCGCCATAGGTCATGGAATTTGAAATTTAAAAAAAGGATTATAAAATGAAAAATGAATTGTTGCTATTTTATAGACACAAAACAAATTGAAAATAAAATTCCAATCTTTTGCATTCGTGAATAACAAATTATTTATTATTATTATCATTATCATCACCATAAATTGTTTTCTTTGCTCTCTCTCTCTCCCTCTCCTCTTTTTATAGTAATCAGTTTGTTTGATTATATAATCGATCAATCAAAATGAACATTCGATCATGATGATGATGATCATCATTTCGGAAATTAAAAAAATAAAATAATCATTACAAATGATCACGATTTCTTTTTTCACTTGTTCAAACACAATGTAATGATAATAACAAATGAACAGTATTTGAATTGACAAAGTAGAAGAAAAAGTAAATTAAAACTTGATTGAATCATTACCATTATTACATACAAATGATTACGATTCTATTATCTTTATCTTTGTCTTTGTCTTTGATTTAATCTGGTCGGTTTATATATTATAATATAATTTGTTATTACAAATTTTCCATGATGATGATCGGAGCCAGTTCCTTCTTTTTTTTCTTGTTTTTCTAAATTGACAAATTCATCTAAACGTTTGCTTTATTCGATCATAATAATACAGGATGGTTTTGTAAACCTTTTGTTGTTTCCCGTTTTATTTTGGCCATTAGTTCTTCTAGATCAAAACCACTTCACAATGATGATGATGATGATGATGATGTTGTTGTTGTTGTTGTTGTTGTTGTTGTTGTTGCAAGTTGATGACCAACCATTTTTAATTAATCTAATTAAACATTCACAGTTAATAGGTAGATACTTTATTTTGATTAAAGAGAAAGAGATAATTTCATAATAATATAATAGTCATTCAAATGAAACGAAAACATTAAACAGAATGCCAAAAAAGAAAACTGAACTGAAAAAACTAAAAACAAAAAAAATAGCCAAGCCATAGTGATAAATGGCTCATATAAGCCAACTCTATCAACCAACCACTGAATGATAACAAATAGAATATTCTATTCTGTGTGCAAAACATTCACAATTCCTAGATTCTATTATAAGCCATTCTAGTTGATTAAATTATTATTCTTATATTTGATTAGCCATTATATATTTAACGTTCTTTGTATAGTATGGTATATGTGTGTGTGTGTGTGTTTGTATGCAATGGAATGGAATAGAATCTAAAACCAGGCACGTATATCACTTACCCATCACGCGTATCATATTATTCTATAAACCAATTTTAATTGGTTAACAATTACAATTTGGATAAATTGACCGAATAAATGGCAAAAAAGAGAGAAGAAGATAATACAGTCATTTTATTCACATGAACACAGGTGAATGGCTTGATTGTTTGCTTGCCACAAAAATGCCAGAAAATGGTTCACAATTTAGTTGAATCGATTTTTTTTTTTTTCACTCGAAAAATATTAACTACCACCACCACCACACACACACACACACACAGACAAGCTGCTTAATTCATGAAATGAATAAATGATTACTCTTGAGATTTAATCATTATCGATTGGATAGAAATGGAAATGAAACAAAAACAAAAAAAAATTTTAAACCCTACTTACACCGAGATCACTCAAATAAAACGTCGCTTTATCTTTTATACATTCATAGACGCAAACATTTTTCGATTAATTTCCGATCGTTTTATTTTTAAAAAAAAGAATCGGATGACATAAATGGTGCAGAATAATTATCAACCAAAAAATAAAACCGATCATTCACATTTGAATGATGGATGAATGAAACGCCTCACATAGTGATTTTATTATCATTCCAACAACAACAACAACAACAACAACAACTAGTAAATGAAAACCAAAAGAAAGACATTCAAACATTTTTTTTTTGATCATTAAAAGTAATTTTTTTTTCTTTCTTTCAATTTTGGCTCTAATTTTCATTCATTTTATTCATATTCACGTGATGAACAACACAATGAGCGACTAACGAGGTCTTTTTTTTTGATGATGATGATGGTGGTTAATTTAAATAATCTATTACAAGTTACACTGTGACAATACTATTCATTTTTTTATAAACCGGTAAATTCAAATATCTATCTGTATGTCTCTTTGCTGTCATCATCATCGAAAAAGAAAACCAAGTAGCTGACCAAACCACAATTTGGTTATTATTGTAAAATAATAACCAGAAATATGAAAACTTGTTTAGTATGCAAACAATGTTTCACCATATCCATATCAGAATTCATTGAATAATCATAATCATCATCATTGACGATGATGATGATGATGATTATGATTATTGTTGCTTAGGTAATTTGTTTTAATGGCATTATGGCGTTGTCTTCACATATATATGTTTATTATTATGTTTGTATGACACATACATGTAATTGTTGTTAATGTTGAACAGAACAAAAAAAAAAAAAATTCCAATTTCAATAAACTATATTGCCAATACTGGACATATGAATGAAAAATTTTCTTTTGGTTGATAATGAGAATCGTGAACTGAGTATTGTATCATTTTATTATTATTTTTTTTTGAATTCCATATGATTTATTATCGATTATTGAATGAATGAATGAATTTATCAATTTATATAGCAATTAATGTTCGTTTTTGGTAATTGAAATTTTTTTTTTTTAAATAGACCAGAAAAAAATCCTACCATTTATCAACATATGTATTGTGTGTGTGTGTGTATAGTTTGATTACGACTTACACAGTTTATTGTTTAAATCATCATGTTTTGTGTATGTGGTGCCAAAATTCAGTATTCAAATTTGGTATACAGAATAAAATGTGTTTGTCTGTGCGTGTTTAGTATGCAAAAAATGTTTGCCCATATATCTTGTGTGTGTGTGTGTATATCCACTCGATTGGATATAAAGATCATCATCATCATCATATTATATATATACAATGTATATGTTTAGAAGAATAATTTAATTTATATATGGCACTCCATACAAACAATACATATGGAGAGAATATTCTGTACAAAATAATGAATTATGATATCATCATTTTGGAAATAAAATACAATCAAAATAAACTGTCTTTTGGATAATAAACTTGATGATGATAATCTTGGACTTGGATGATGAGAGACTAGATAAATGGATGGTTGGATAATAAATCTATATTATTAACACACTGTACTAGTTGGTATTGGAAATGATGATGATAATCTATCCGTTGTTGAATTTGTTGATGATGGTGATATGGTTGCTGTTGTTGTTGACGCTATCGATGCTGTTATCATCGAAGATGTTGAAGAACCTATACTATGGCCAACACTACCACCACCACCACCACCATCATGATGATGATGATTACCCCATGGTTGAAGATTTTGTAATGCATGTAATGAAGATGCATTCAATAATAATTGATGTTGTTGATGATGATGATGATGATGAAGATCACGTTGTGAAAAAGCTGCTGCTGCAGCAGCAGCAGCTGCGGCTGCTATTGATGATGTAATTGGTCCCACCGTTTGTTGTTGTTGATGTTGTTGAGATCCAACAACAACAGAATTGATTGGAGATGATGATGATGATTGTTGTTGTTGTTGATTTGATGCGGGTCCGTGATGCTGTTGATGTTGATGTTGATGATGATGATGATGTAATGCAAGATCAACGGCCATTTCATTTGTTAATGTTTGATTATTATTACCATATAATGATTTTGATACAACTTCGGCCTGTAAACTCATCATTAATCTATTTGCAGCTTGTCGTTCGGCTTCACGTTCTTCGGCTGTTTGTCGTCTAATAATAATAACAATGAAAAAAAAATAAACGAAAATAAAATTACCATAGTTAAGAGTTTCATTTTTAAAACTAAATGATAATGACACTTGTCTCCATTTGATTCGATCAACAACAACAACAACCTCGCTATTATTTGTGGTCAGAAAACAACAACAACAACAACAAAAAGTCATTTTACCGATTCAGAAGAAAAAAATTGACTGATAATAGACTGACAAAATGAACAAATTATCTAAAGTCGGATCTAAATGGATGGTGCACCACACACACACCATACAATCAACCGGCCATAGACACAAATTAAACATTTGTTAGTTGACCAATGTAAAACCATGTAATCAAAGGCGAAACAAAAATATTTGTGCAAAACATTCATAAAATAAGCGACTATTGTGTTATTACTAAATGACCCAAATGATATTTTTTTTCTGGTTCGTCATTTGACCAACAAAAAAAAAATAACAGCAACAACATGGAAAAAGGAACAACAATCGGCTGTTCAATGATCATCATTTAAAAAAAATCACTGAATCGATCAAGTGAAAAAGTTCTGTAAAAGAAGAAGAAAAAAGACAATCAATTACTTTAAACTGTGTAATCTTTAACTAAAAGTGAGATTATTATATGATGGCGGTAAGTAAAATTTACTTGAATTTGTTGTTGTTGTTATTATTTTCCCAAGTCTAAAATATGGTAATGATGCCATGATTGGACCCAGACAGTGGTTATATGTGGCGACATACAAACAAAAAAAAAGAACCGCAATTCACAGACCCCGCATCACTTATCATTATGTGATGATGGTGGAACAGTAAATATGCCACACCAATCAGTCATTCATTTTAGCAAGTCAGTCAGTCAGTCAGTCAGTCGATCTGGTCAATGATTGTGTGTGTTTTTGCCAAACAACTACTAACTAAAACGAAGAAATTGATATTCAAGGAAAAAACTATTCAATGGAATAACCTTTAGGGCATTTTTAGATCAAAAAAAAATTATGATGATTATTGATGAAATTTACTGATTTAATTTTTTTTTTTAAGAAAAAAAAACTTCAGTATTAAGGTTTGGTTCGAAAACGTTGATTATTCTTCTGTTCATCTTCTTTTCTAATAATAATAATAATAATCATCATCATCATATCTAAATGCTGGTTCATTTAATAAAATAAAAATGCGTATGATATACAGACAATTGTTATTGCAATTGCTTGATCAGATCAATTAAATTCATGTTATAACATTTCATTTTTGACACAATCGTTCATCATAATCATTGAAACAATCGCTTAAAGATCAATTAGTTAATGATAATTATGATCGTTATCTAAAATAGCCAAGTAATTTACATATAAACAAGATAGGTGTTTGTGTTTGTGCATGTGAATGAGAGACTTACCTCCATTTTGTTCGTCGATTCTGGAACCTAAATATTGGAATCGAAATAATTTTTTTTTTTTGGTTAAAATAAAATGAATTCAACATTATATAAATCATCAACATACCATGTTTTAACTTGTGCATCGGTCATTTTTAAATTTTTTGCCAATGTTGCACGTTCAGCTGATGCTAGATATTTTTGTTTATGAAAACGTTTCTCTAATTCACATATTTGCATTCGTGTAAATGATGTTCGTGGTTTTTTACGTTTCGGTGGCGTACGATTCTGATATGGATGGCCAATACGACGTGCCGGTAATGTTGGATAACCGGCCGTTGTAAATGGAAACGATACTGAAAAGAAATTGAAAATTATAATCAAAATAAAATGAAATGAATAAAATAAATCATGCGCATCATAATTTGGTAAATTAAAATTCTAATATTAAAAAATTGTAAGCTATCATTAAAATAAATAGCCACAACAGTTGTTAATCATCACATTTCAATGTCTTAGATTTAACTTAGCAACAACAACAACAACAGGAAAATTCCAATAATGTAAATTATTTATATTCAAATTAGCTAAATGTTTCCACAAACACACACACACACACACAACACAAAAACAAAAAAAAAACGAAAATGATAGACTTGTTCTTCCATCTCTTTTTTTTCGCCATTCTAAGAGTTTTAAAAATTGAGTGATTGCACACATTTAAATTACAATGATGATAAACAAAAAAAAATGATACAGTCGATTAATGATGATAATGATGACGACGATGACGACGACGACGATGATGATGACGATGTTATAATAATAATGATAATGATGATTGTGATCACAATCATCACAAACATTTAAAATCTATATAAATGAATGAATTTAACTTGCTAAACACATATCCATGAATTGAACATGAATTCCATTCAATTAAAGAAAAAGAAAGAGAGAGAGAGAGAGAGAGAAATCTTTTCTTTTACTATTTGAATGTAATATAACTTATAATAAATATATATATAAATATTATCGAAAAACTAAACGAAATGATTATCTTAATTTGTATCGTTTAAGTTAAAATTCGTTATTTTTCGTGTTTTAATCATCATCATAATAGTAATAATAATATCATTCAATCGACATTCATCAACATCATCATCGTATGGGCAGCCAAAAAAAAATTGGCGTCAAAAAGTCGTTTTTTTTCTCATTCAGCGTTTGCATAATCATCATCCACCTTTTTTTTCCTCTGATAATGATAAATAATGATGAATAGTTGTGTATGTGTGTGTGTGTGTGTTTTAGACTCATCATAGGCCACGATTTTTGTTTTTTGTTTTCTTCTTTGAGATCTTTGAATATGATTATATTGACAGTGTATTTTGTAGACACGAATACGATATGAATCGTTGGCTATTAGAAATTATAAGTGATCATCATTCGACTGCCAACAAAAAATGACACGATTAACAAGAACAACAAACATACATATGTCACCTTTTTTTCAATAAAAGTTGAGGGGTATAAAGTAGAAAATGATAATCGGTCGTCGTCATCATCATTTATAGACATTTTAGTTGTTGTCGCCAATTGGTATTTTTTTTTCTTCATTTTCAAATTTCCGATATATAATCTATAATCATTTTCATTTAACATTTAAAAAAAATGAAAACGCCCAAAATTTATCTTTATGGTGTTTTTTAAAAAGACAAATGCGCTTATTCAATCGATCATCATCATCATCATCATCATCATCATCATCATCATCATCATCATCATCAAGGGTAATAAGTTTTAATTTATTTTCATTCAAACAATTTTTTTTGTTGTTTTCATTCACCTTCCATAATTGTTCCTGGTCAGATTGTTAGTTAGTTAGTTAGGATTTAATGATTGTTTTTGTATGAAAATTTTTTTTCTTTTCATTCATTTGAATATATATGAATCATAAATATTCTATATATTATAGTACTCCATATTCAAATTCATCTATCACGCCAATGATTCATGTCCTGATTATAATGATGGCCACCATCGCCATCATTTGAATAATGATCAAATGCAAATCAATTGTCAAAAACAGAAACAAAAAACATTACACCTGCTCATAATGATGAAATAAGACGATTGGAAAGAAAAAAACTTTCCAATAACCTCCAACACCCTATATTTTATATTTTGATGATGAATTCAATTAGCACAGTAAATAAGAAAATTTTTCAAAAAAAAAAAAAAAAAAAAAATTTGCAAATGAATTTCAAATGAAGTGAACAACAAAATATCATGCTTGTATTTTTTTTTCTTTTTTCAAAAAAAGAAAAATCTTACTTGATAAACCATCTTTGATTGCGAATGGTGTTGAAGTATGATGATGATGATGATGATGTGGATGTGGATGAGTGGTCAACCATGGATAAGTAACCGTATATGGTGGTGGTGGTTGTGGTGCTATTGCTGCTGTTGTTATCGAGTTTGAATTTGTTGAAGTTGTTGTTATCGTCGTTGTTAGTGATTGTGGTGATGAATTATGATGATGCTGTAATAATTCCGGTCTTTGTGCTGGCACTCTTATCACAGAATGTTGTTGTTGTTGTTGTTGATGTGGATTATCTTTTGTTTCATCATCATTATCATCATTAGTTATAATCGTTAATCCATTGGTCGTTGTTGTTGTTGGACTATCCAGATTACGGTCCAATGATGATGTTGATAATGATGGTGATGGTGATAATGATGGTTCAGATGAACATCGATTATTATTATGATGATAATTCGATATATCGATATTTCGATGATATGGTGATAAATTATTAGGACTTGTCGTTGAAAAGAATCGATTCTGTTGTTGTTGTTGTTGATGGTGATGATTATGATGATAATTTTTAGTATCAATAGGTGAATCAATCGATGATCGTTCAGATTTAGGTGAATTTAGATGTTGATGATGATGATGATGGTTATTGAATTCCGACGAATCTTTACCATTTTGCAGATGTTTACCATTATTATTATTCAATGATGTTGACGATGATGATGAACAATGATGATCCAACAAACGACTAATGCTAAATGTTAATTTTTCATTTTTCACATTAGTAGTTGTTGTCATTTTGTTGATTGATTGTTTCAGTGGTTTTTTATCGTTGCCACCATCATCATTATTACATTCATTGACATTATTCAATGATGGAGAATCATCACAACCATCATCATCAATATCAATATTACTACAATCATCAGAATCATCATTAATAATATTGGCACTAGATCTGGATGAATGGGACATTTTTTCAAAACACATTTGAATCAATTATAAAAAACAAGAAATCAAAAAAAAAAAACACACAAAGGTAAAAGTGAATACACAAATTGGACAATGTTTAAACGAAAATTGAATTGAATGATTTTTTTTTTTCACTTGTTAATCTATTCGCATCATTATTATTATTTTGTGTAAATTTGTTCAAATCGTTTCTGTCGTTTGTTTGTTCTCTTTGGTTATATCGTCAATTTAACGATTGATTTTTTTTTTCATTCATTCATTCATTCTTTTGAACCACTTAACTTTATCGACATCACAAACACACGAACAAACAAAACAAGAGAAATAAAATGCGCTGAAATAACAAACACAAACACAAGCAAGTATACATATATGTACACCAAAAAAAAGAGAAAGATGTGAAGAGAGAGGTGCGGCCACACAGAATATTTGGATCAGATTAACTTTACAAAGGAAAAGAAAAAGACTTGCAAAAAAAAAAAAAACAATTGGCTACACACAAACACAGACACCAAAATAGTGAACATGAACAAATTGGCTGAGTGTGTGTGTGTGTGTGTTTGTGTGTATTAACGACAACAACAAACATAAAATGATAATATAAGTGATGATTGCTGTTGATTTTCAATTTGTTTTTCATTCATTTTTTGATGTGTAATATTCTCTCTGTGTGTGTGTGTGTGTGTGTGTGTGTATTTACCAAGGACAGCCCATTTAAGGCGTGTTAAGTAGCTTGATTGATTGAAAATAAGTATAGTTAGCTAGACCAAATACACTAAATATATTACATGAATGCCGTACATACAATTCATGGAAACAAGTACAACTTTTTTTTTTTCTCTCTCTCTTTTTTTTTCTATCTCAATTTTTAACATTCATAAAAGTCTGTGTTTTTTTTTCTTCTGTCGAAAACAATCCAATCGTCACATGCACTCTGAATATACAACATACACACACACACACACATCTACATATCTTTTGCTTTGTTTGTTTTGTGATTCTACAGAATCTTTTTTTTGTTTTTGTTGTTGGAAATATTAGACAATTTCCAGCATTCATTGGAACCAATTATTCATGATGATAGTACAGAATAATTGTTAGAATGATGATGATTGTCAATAAAGGTAATGTTCATATCGATAACCATAATAATAATAATAATCATATATATGAGGATAAAACCAAAATGAACATTATTTTAAATGGGCAACCAAAAAAAAAAAATAGTAACGTTTGTGCAGCACACACACACACACACACACATGATGATGAGAAATGAAATAAACATCAAAATGATGATGATGATGATGATAATTCCAACTACGACCATCATCATCATCATCATCATTCGATTTGTGCTAATTTTTCTGTATATGTGTGTGTGTTTGGAAACTATCAGAAAAAACGACAACGATGAAACATTTTTTGTTTTTTGGTGGAGTAAATTAAATGTAATTATAGTTGAGTACTACAACAAACACAGGTACAAACATAGAAAGATAGAGAGACAGAACATCATTTTGAAATATAAACATCATCATCATCATCATTGAGAACCTGGCGTCATGCGTATACGTGTGCATTTTTCAAATAATTGTATTAAATGTAACAACACCAACATGACGACTAAATATCCGATTCCATTATATATGACTCTAGAATAATAAAAAAAAAGATACTCATGTTTAATTGTTATATAACATAAATGGATAGATACAGATGAACATTGATAGACTAAAAGAAAGAAGCAGAATATAAATTAGAAACATTTTGAAAAGAAAAAAGGCAATAGAATAAATTGAAAATTAACCATTATAACCTGTGTGAAGAAGATGAAGAGAATTTTTCGACTTGACTTTCTTTGCTTGTTCAATATAATCGAACGATCTGTTCAATGTTTTTTTTTTTTTTTTCGGATGTTTTCGTGTTCATTTGTTCGATTAATCGATCAAGTTTAATTAAAGTAACAAGCAAAAAAAAAAAAAAAAAACAAAACCTATACCAAAATGAAGCCAATTCACACAATGAGAGAATCACAAAGATGGATTGCCCATCGGGTTTAATTTTCGAAATAAACAGAGAAAAGAGAGAGAGAAAAAAGAACAGAAAATTCATTCTACGATCATAGAATAATTGTTTTTAATTAACTGAATGGTATTTTTGTTTCAGCTGAAAATTGAATAAAACCATTAATATTTCTATAACAAATGTTGGATGCAATGTCTGGAACCATCACTAGAAATGTGATTATATTATTCATCTAATCATTCAGTGGAAAAAAAGCTTCAAAATTCGAATTGAAATTTTTTTTTTTTTTTTAAACATTGATTATATCAGGTCTAGCCAATTATTTTCAAAACAGAAAATCTTTCAGGTGTTTTTTTTTTTTTTTTTTGCTAGCTTTAAATATATTATATAATTCATTACAGCATTGATGATTATATATTGTTTTTGTTCATTTCGATAATGTTGATGATAATTGGCAAAATGAATGATTTTGATTGAACCTTGAAGAAAAGGGGCTAATTTTTTTCAATCTTTCATTTACCTTTATTTTAAAAAAGGATGGCATCATTTAACCAGTCAATGGTTGTTTTTTTTTCGAGCACAAATTAACGATCGATTGATGGAAAGAAAAACATTGCATTTTTCAAAAGGATTAAAAAAACAACGACGAAATTTCACATCTTTCCTTCGATAATATTTCGACTTTTGTGAATTTTAATTCTTTTCTCTCTCTCTCTCCTTTAATCCTATTTATATATCAATTGACTATTAACAAGAGAGAAAGAAAAAACCCCAATAATGATGATGATTTAACGATATTAACAATCAATCAATCAATTGACTATTAAACGCGTATTGAAATTATCAAATTTTCTCTCTCTCTCTCCTCTCTCTCTCTCATCAACAATTTCACAATTTATTCATTAAAGTTTTGAATTTTATAATGGAATTGTTTTTTCTCTCTTTCTCTCTGTCTTTTCTCCATTATCATAATCATCATTGTGATGCAATTTAATTTGGGATAAGATGTGAATCACACACACACACACACACACATTTAACATCGATGTTTTCATCATCAGTGGAAGGAAATAAAAGGAAACAAAAATTTAATAACGACCATTTGAATAAAGATTCACTGGATTCATTTGATAGTCAACATCAATTGTGTAATAATAATAATTATTATTATTATTTCTGGAAAATTGCAAACTTGACGAAAAAAAAAAAATACAAGCCATGTTATAACATCAACAACAATAAAAATAATGACAACAGAATCTTTTTCCAGTACCAGATCCATGATATGATGGAACACGCGAACTGGGAAAACTGGGATTACAAAACGAAACGAAAAACCGGGGGCTGATGGTATACACACGTATTTACATTATGAATTTTTCTTTCATTGTTATTGTTGTTGTTGTTGGATCTTTGAAATCCCAAATGCACATTGCATACACACACACACACACACACACACACGCTACAAAACAACTAAACTAAAATCAAAAATGTTAGTCTGTCTGTCAGTAATAATAATTGTTAAACACACACACACACACACACAATATCTACCTATTCTAATTCAGAATTAAATAGGAAATACCTTTGAGATTTCATCATTTTCTCATTCACAGTGTGTGTGTGTGTGTGTGTTCAAAACGACAAAAACATTGGAACTTGTTGTTGTTGGAAAGATAAAATCGACATAGTTAACAACATGCAAGTAAAATGAACGGGACCCAGGAAAAAAAAGACTTGTGGGACCTAGAGAGAAAGATTGTTGTTTGGCATCATCATCATCATTCACATTAATGTAAACGTGTGCCACACAAACACATCAACAACAACAACAAAAAATTCATTACATTTTCCCATTGTAATTGTGATGAATTTTTGCTTGCTTGCTTGCTTGTTTTGTTGCAACACTACGAATTGGTCAATTCAAAATGAAAGATCTATCTATCTATTCTATATATTATATATAAAATGAATGGGAAATTTTTTTTTCTCTGTGTATGTGTGTGTTGTATGTTTATATTTTAATTAACAATAAACATCAAAAATACAAAACCGTAAACGTGTCTGTAAATTAAATTATAAATAAATTAACTTTTCGAAAATTGATTATTGTTATTATTTTCAAGAAAATTTCCCATTTCAAAACCCAAACATCCAAATAATATAGATAATAATAACCGTAATACATCAAACGCCATTTTCATTTATGAATTTTACATTTTCATTTTCGATAAATATATTGACGGTTGGCATCTGAACAAAGTGTTCCAACGAACAAAAAAACATTGAGAATTTAATTGAAATTATGGCACACACACACACACACACACACACACACACACACACACGTTAGACCAAAATAGATAAAAATGGAACAAATCGATAAAATGCACAAAATGATTTTTTTTGTACAAATCATTTTAGAATAAATGTTTTTTTTTCGCTATTATCATCGATGATTATCATTATGATGATGATGATGATAATTCGTGATCAACCATGATGATGATTATGATTGAAAAAACGAAACAAACAAAGATTTGAAATGAAATTTTAGCTATTAAATGGTGATTAAGTAGTGGTAACAAGTAACCTTGATCATGATCATGATCAATAAATGAATGAATGAATGAATGTATGGCTGTTGTTGTTGGTGATCATTTGCATATGGACATGAACAAGTATTTTAAATATCATCATCTTCATTTAAATTAACCTAGGATCCATCATATATATATATATCGAAATCATATACCATTAACCATGTTTGCGATTTG